ATATATTATACTTTTTTCAAAACAAAACCAAATTATTTGTCTCTAATATAGCAATAAATGCTTCATAATAGTGCACTTATTTGAAATTTAAATAGCTATAACTTTTGAACAGTTGAGTATAAAAATTGTAACAGTATAACAGTTTTGTCTTCAAATTATTAATTGCTAACAGAATATTTCGAAAAATATAGGGGTTCCCATTTGAATTTCAAAATTTGATAGTGCGCATATGCAAACTACATAAGGTTTAACTTCAGATGTGGACTTGAAATGTGCGTTAAACTTCACCTAATAACATTCAATAGTCAAAATTTTAAAAAAATCAAAAGCGGCTCTGAAAATCAAGGGGCTCCAAACTTTTTGAACACCCTGTATATACATCTATTTTTTTGGATCCGGAATAATGTTGACTAGTAGAATGATTATTTTCTAACCTGTAGAGAACTCTTTAAGCAGAGGCCCAAATTTTTGTTTTCAATTATTAGTAAAGTATTAGGTTTGATTTTGTATTCTGAATTTTTGTTTTACGAAATGCGCTAGTATATTATAATAACCGATAACCTGTGTAAACAAAACACAGTTAGTGCTATTTTTTTTGTGCGCCTTATTTACCTTAAATTCGTAACGATGTGAATAACACATGACTAATATCCCACAAAGTACACTTCTTTGAATCGATACACAACTACATAAACAATTGTTCAAGTTTTCAATTTAGCACACAACAATATGCTGAAAAATAATTTGAAATCAGCATGCTTTTCAATTTAAAATACGTAGAATAAATTTTTGTAACCCTTAATTGTCCTTATAAAAAAAATGTTTCAGCCAATCAGGCTATATCAGGTATAGCCAGGATATCTAAATCGATATCTAAATCTTAACACTTTTCTTCAGATGCTGTTTAGTTTCGACTTAAACATTTGTTAGCAATTATCATTCCAGTTCACAAGCCTGGAAAACCAAACAGTTCACCAGAAAGCTATAGACCTATTAGTTTATTACCTACCCTCTCCAAACTATTAGAAATGATACTGCTACACAGATTGAAACCATACCTAAAAATTATTCCACTTCACCAATTCGGCTTCAAACCTCACCACTCCACTTGTCATCAACTACAGCGATTCTCAGAAATAAAAGTAGATGGATTTGAAAATAAAAAAATACACAACCACTGCCCAACCATTGCACAGGCCTTCGACAAGGTCTGGCACCAAGGCCTCATGTCCAAATTAACAAAACTAAAACTGCCAAACTATCTATATAATATAATATCATCATTTATCACAAACCGTACATTTAAAGTAAGAATAGATACTGATACCTCTGAAGAACACCCGATAAAAGCAGGGGTCCCACAGGGGTCAGTCCTTGGCCCCACCTTATTTAATATTTATTGCTATGATATCCCAGTTCCACAAAAATGCCAATTAGCCATGTACGCAGACGATACTATTATGATAACACAACATAAAAATCTTGAAAACTCTATATCAGATCTACAAATTTCTTTAGACCTAATTTCAGACTGGTTTACAAAATGGAAACTAGCTCTTAACCCAACTAAGAGCGAAGCGAAAATATTTACCTTAAAGAGATATACAAATCCACCTCAATTAAAAATCAAAAATCAGCCTATATTATGGAATAATAAAGATCAATCAATTAAATATCTCGGAGGTTACCTTGATGAAAAATTAACATGGAAAATGCACATAAATAAAAAAATAAACCAAGCCTACACACGATTGAAAATCTTATACCCCCTAATTAATTACAGCTCTACACTTCAGATCAAATGCTCACTTCTAATATACACATCAATAATAAGACCTTTAAAAACATATGCATGCCCAATATGGGCAGCCGCATCCCAAACAAAAATTACAAAATTACAAACGATACAAAACAAATTTCTCAGAATAGCTCTTAAAGCCCCATGGCATATGCGAAACACACAACTCCACGACGACACTGGAATACCATACCTAACCACATGGATAAATGAACAATTTAAAAAATTTCATTCGAAACTAAACACAATAGAAGGAGCCCATCACTTCAAAATTGGGAAAAGAACCAAAAACCGCCGACTAAAGCCACGTCTCCCACAAGATATCTTACTACCCCCAGAATCATCATCGTCATCTTCATCGTCGGTATCATCAGATTAATGACCTAATTAAAACAACTCATAATTTATGTACAATTTGCTAAATTAAAGTAATTATAAATTATTTTATTACTCTATTATGCCTACCTAATTATGTAACTTATTAATTAATATATTGTAAAAACAAGATTATGTTGAAACAATTAAAATATAATAAATAAAAAAAACATTTGTTGGTAAAAAAATATTTTTTACATTTTCAGTCATCGCCCATTAGTGAGCTTTTGAGGGCAATATACGAGCCGGTGAGAATGAAAGTGACTCAAGTTAAATTTTTAAAAAATCCGTAATATCACTAAACAACTTGTTTAATGAGTTGTTTCGAACACAATAATATTACTTCTGTTGATATTTAACAATTTTCTGTACATTACAAATGTAAACAAAGTTAAACATAAATATCATCTAGTTGAGGGTGTAAATCGATAGATTCGTGGTAATCAAGTAATTTGGTAGGTAGATATGAAACAGTTCTGACAAAATTGGATCGATATTTGTGTTAAGTACAATTTTTGCCTTTTGAAAAATACCATTAATACAATTTCGGATCACTTGATTATCAATAAGGCGAAACGTCCATTTGGAATGTTATTTTCCATATAGAATTTTTACTTGATCATTTTCAAGTAAACGAATCTTTTTTTTTTATTTTAATAAAAAAAAACATTTTGTTCAAAAAATTTTTAAACAACGCATTATTCGTAACTAAATTGCTATTAGAAAATGAATATTTCTAACCGTCATTACAATATATAGAGACATTTAAGAGATTGAGAGAGTCCAACTACAATTTTTGGCGATGACTTTCTATATCTGTTATGATACTGTGTGATTATGTAAATTAATCCAGCAAATTCTGGATTTTCGGTAAACACATACCGAATTTTAAGCATTTTAAGTCATTTTAATTACTTATCTGCGCGAGTGCGTTTTCTTCTGTACCCCGCGAAGAAATTGTTCTTGTTTTTATTCGTGCGCTTTAAATCAAGCTATTCTAAAAAACGTCTAAAAAACGTAGTTTTGAAATCGTTGTATTTTGATCGATTTTATGATGTAGTTTGATTTTGATTTTAGTGTAGTTAGAAAATTTAAACCAATTTTATTTAAATATTGTAATTTTTACATTTTTGGTGCAATAGTTAGGAATCATCGCTTGAATATTATTTGCACTAGCATGGGAAAAACATGTTTTGTTAAACCTTATGTAGTTTGCACATGCGCAATATCAAATTTTAAAATTAAAATGGGAACCCCTATATTTTTCGAAATATTCTATTAGCAATTAATAGTTTGAAGACAAAACTGTTAAAAACAATTTTTTATACTCAACTTTTCAAAAGTTATAGCTATTTAAATTTTAAATCAATGCACCGTTAAGAAGCATTTATTGCTATATTAGAGACAAATAATTTGGTTTTATTTTGAAAAAGTATAATTTATTACCTGAACTATTATTTTAAAGAAATAAAATATACTATAAAATAGAATTCATTGCCTAAATTGTCATTTAAAAATTTGTTAGAAAAAGTACTAATTGTATTCTCTTTTGGAGACACTATAAATTATAACAAAGCATCATAATATTGCTAGTGTATATATCATAACGTATATACGGAAGATATTATACGGTTCCAAACACTACCTAAAGGATCTATAGGATTTTTGTACGTGTAATAGATAATAATGACCGGCGACTGCCGTTATACAACACACATAAACTACCCATTATAAAGAACGGTTCCAAACTTATTCAACAGTATTTGTACAGGTAATAATACCGACAACCGCAAACCAACGCGTCATTTGTCTGCAATCACTATCAATGTTGTCATAAATATTATTATCATGTAGCTTAATCGGCCATTAAGGCAGAAGGCTCAACGCTGCCATCACGAGATGGTTTCTTGACGAATTCGCATTACCCACTCGGACAACTCCACCTCCTAATAAAATAATACTGCTGCCAAATAGTATGGCATCATCCATTTTTTGTTTGAAAAATCCTGGTTACCATAAAACGTGACAGGCTCTCAGATTTTGCTTTATAATTTTACATTTTTTATTTATTTTTATGTATTTTTTTCTCTTGCTTCACAGTAGGAACCGCGGTCGAAGCCGAGAAACTTACTACCACGACATCGGGGAACATATCCGTGAAATAACTTTGTGTTATTATTGGATGACTGTAAGACAAATTCTAGCCGATTGACCAGTCTTGCTCACCCTAACTAATTAAATCAAGGGAAAGCACACCTAACCTACCATCTTAGAACGATAACATAGGATTATGTCATTTTGTTATAAAACAAAGAAAACCAATTTTTCCCGACAACGGTAGAAGCGAGGTGTTTAAAGTATCTAAGTTCGCTGTCCCCATATACCAGCTAACCTACTCCAACGATTTTAGTAAAATAAAAACTAAAAAAAATTGTAAATTACCAGGAGTGTTCTTAGCTAGGTTTATCCATCGTTAAGTTAACAGTTATGTAAGCAAAAATAGATTCAACCAAATTGATTCTCCGTCTACAATGAGATACAGCCTTAGAATAAAGCCTAATGGTTTCTACAAGCTCGGTTGCCAATAAAGAATAATAGTAAACTATTTTAACTTTTCGCATACCATATATGGATGTCGTCCATCCTCGGCCATTCACGTCATGTATATAATCATCAAATTTACATAACGTACAAACTGTGATACCTTGTAAATTAAAATTAAAATAATTTAAAAAAACTATTTTATAATGTGCATACATATTTTTCCACTAATATTGTGTTTGTTTTTATTATAATATTAAATCATATTTTAAGTGAACAGTAGGTACATTTTTTAAAACATTGTTTTAACTTTTAATCAAGATAGAACATAAAATATAATGCATTTAAATCTATAAGTTTAAGTATTGATAAGTTTGATTGTTAGACGTTCGATAATCTCGTTAATAACAACAACATAACCTGAAAAATAAATTCGTTTTTTAGTAAATAAGCCCATTTTTTTAAAAATAATCTGGTAAAAAAACTCAATCCAAAACATCATGATAAATTTCCAATTTATGTACTGTAAATTCAAACGTTTTGGTATCACCTAAGGTTCTGGTTATACTGAACAACTTACCTAATGGACGCGTATTTACTATCCTCGACGAGGAGTATCTTGGACCATCAAACACAGTGTCAGGCATTATCATTTTTGCATGGTCGTAAATTGCGAATGCTTTCTGGAATACATATTCGTATCCTTTTAGATTTTGAACATAATCACAGGCATCATTGATATTTGTATCAAGGTTATCGAGCTCATTTATTATACTGGCATCATCATTAATATCGAATTCAACGTTAATCGAATATTGAAGGTTATATAATTTCATTAGACCATAGATCTTATCATAAATAAAATTTATAAGCGTGTAGAACTCTCCAGGGTTTATATGTTCCCGTTCTTTAAGTGTTTCCAATTGTAGTTCAGCGGTTTTGTTTGAAACCATTTGAAGGTATTCTTGCACGATCGTGGGAAAAAATTTCATATTAATTAACGACTCGAAACTATATCTTAATTTTAAGATTTGATTCGTTAATTTTTCTTTATGCTTATCGTAGCTTTGAAATCCTTCTTCGTCTTCATGTAACTTATTTTCTGGATCTGATTTCTCTTGGTTCTCCAGCGTCTTGAGGTCATTATTTTCTACTTTCATGACTTGGTCACTTAAATTTTCTTCACCTATTTTATAGGCTGGATGCAATTTCTTTAAGACCATGAGATATGTACCATAGTATAAAAAAACAGGATGTAAAACAGCGGCTATTACATGTTCCTGGAATAAAATAACGTAATCTTGATGAAAGATTCCTCGCACGAGTGTCAATAAGTCATATGTACTCGCAAAACCTCTTTGGTATAATTTATAACTTGTCATTACATTACGCGGTATAATCGGTCTGCCCTCCTTAAATTCAATATCGCTTAATTCCATGGGATCGTTTACCAGCAATGGCTTAAATAGTAGATGTTCGGGATTAAAGTCATTATAAGTTACGCCATTCATCGTCGTCTGAAAAAAAATTTCCAATTCTTTTTTATTATGCTCTAGTGTCGACAAAATCTCGCTTAAGACTTCCGTATTTAATGGCCATTGTTTGGCTAACAATAGGTTAATTTTTCTCAATTTTTCCGGCATTTCTGTATTATCCTGAACAATAGGATTTGTTTGATAATAGCATTGACGATTTCGTATAAACGTCGTAAGCGCTTCTGTCATTTTTGTGTAAAAGAACGCGTATCCCCAAGCATAATTAGGTGTGTTGCCGTTTTCTTTGATGTTCACGCAAGTAGTTCCCGACAAATTATTTAAGTACAAATTTACTTGCATTAGAACGTCCGGTGGTTTGAAATTTGGCGCTCCCACTTGTTTTCTGAGGTCATCGAGCATGAACAAAACAATTTTTCCCTGAGAAAGAAGATATTCATCATATAGTTCTGCGAGGCCCAGCGGTATATTAAGTTTCTTGAAATCATAATTCAGATTGTCTAAGCTTACTCCGAATTTCTTTTTAAAAACAATATTGTTTAAGTTGAAATAATATAACATATATCTTGAATACATGCAGAGTGTATTATTCGGAGAATTTCTTGGTTTTATTTGCTTCATTGATGAGCTAGGAAAATTTGATGTGCCAAATGAGTCACTAACCAACAGCAATATAAGAACCACACGCCAAGCCATTTTACGTGTATTTTCAATCAACGGACACATTAAACTAGCACAATAACATAATATGTTTTAGCTTCGATGCGATATTTTGTTATTTGTTGTTTAACTTTACAACCCATGTTTTTTTTTTTGTTGACACAATAAACATGATAATGTACAAAATAGATATTCACTAGAATTAATATAGGTATACTGTCATGCAAAAAAATTGTTCAAACATCTAAAGCCACAAACAACAAAACAAAATACGATTGGATAAATAAAAAACCATATGGGGTTAGTCATTTTTTAGTACACTTTGCACGTACGAAACTCATACCAAATTAATCATAAGAAGTATAATGTTAAACTATGAAAATATTTTTTGCAAAATATGATGACTTTTATAATGTTTGTACTTTACGTTATGAATGTATTTGTAATTTATATACATTTGTAATGGTCATAAGTGACATGCCAAGTCATGTTAAAAAATACTGCATTTAGGTTTTAGGTTTCCTAGCATATAATCATGATGTATCTTAGCTTTGACACGATATGTTGTTATTTTTTGTTTATACCACCCGTGTTTTTTTGTTGACACAATAAACATGAGCTCGAAGTATAATATTCTTTTTTTGTTTACGCTTACCGTGTTTCACTTGAGTAAAACTATGTATTCGATAAAAAAACATTATTGTATACCTCAAAATATATCCTAAAAAATCGAATTTAAATTAAATTTATTCACTTTAAATAAATTAAACCCATAAAAATCGATTTCAAAATCAATAATCGTTTTAATAATATTTCAGTATATTAATTTCAATATATTTTTCAGATTTAAAAATCGTGAAGTCTATCGCATTTTTGTAAATACAATAATTTTAACTTATTTGACTGCTAATTTTTTTAAAGTATACAATTTATTTAGAATGAAAATGGGTAAACGATTAGGGTAATTTTTGTTATTTTGAAAGGGAAAGGGTGACTCTTTAAATTATAATATATTACCATTTAAGTCTGTAACTATAGTTAAGTCATTTCTTGAGACATAATAAATAAAACAACAGAGCCCTACTCGACGGCCCGTCCTCATTCATCTTACTCTCCTTCACCGTCTTCTTATGTAGTCATCCAGCGGCTTGTGGTCATAATTTTCTAATTTTATGACTTGTTATCTTAATTTTTTGTCACCTATATTATCAGCTAGATGCAATTTCTCCAAGACCATGAGATATGTACCGTAGAATGTAAAACAGCGGCTATCACATGTTGCTTGATTAAAAAAAACGATAACATCTTATCCTGTGTACCGAATTACTCGAGTAACCCTTTCAGACCCAAGGTACACTTTTGAACACTTTTTTTTTTTCAAAAGTTGGGTTTGAAAGGGGTACCTTAGTTGACAGTACTTGGTTTGAATTATGCTTGTTTTTGTGTACCTACCTTTAATTGCTGACAGCATAACTTAAAACATTGCTGTTTAAAATAAAAAGATGGCTTTAAAAATCATATATGAATATCCTTTAAAGATTTTTCAAACGGAACTAATGAAATTTTAAGATTAAAAGTTAAATACCAATGAAGTTTTGGTAAGGCTACATTATAAACCCAAAAATGTTATGGTTAACTTTACAATATAAACAAGTTAAAGCAAATATCTGATGATATAACATGTAAAACACCCAATAGTTATTTGATTTTATCGAAAATACATTTTTTTTTTACATTTTCGATACACCCTTATAGCTCATTTATGATAAAAAATTCTCACTTGGAGTACTTGAATATTTTGTAATATTGTTATAATCTTTATTCGCAGTATTGTAAAATATTTAAGTACTTTACGAATTGTAAATACTTGTTAATATTTTTATTAACAATATCAATTTTATACTTTTTCGTTCAGTCTATTTCTCAAAATACAAATAACTCCATAAATATGAGTCAATTTTTTTTGTAACCGGGTATTCATAGTATAATAAATATATTATAAAACAAATAAATATATATTTTTTTTTGTATCTCGAATAATGTTGACGAGTAGAACTATTATTTTCTAAACTGTACTGAACTCTTTAACCAGAGGCACAGATTTGGTTTGAATAACATATGAGTAATATCGCACACAATACACTTCTCTGCATCGATACACAACCACATAAACAATTGTTCAAATTTTCAGTTTAGCACATAACAATGTGCTGAAAAATATTTTGAAAACAGCATGCTTTTCAATTTAAATTACGTAGAATAAATTTTTGTAACCCTGAATTGTCTTTATAAAAAAGTGTTTTAGCTAATCAGGCTATATTAGGTGTATCCAGAATATCTATATCGATTTCTAAATCTTAACACTTTTTTCGGATCCTGTTTAATTTCGACTTAAAAATTTGTTGATAAAAAAGTATTTAATAAATTATCAGTCATCACTCATTTGTGACCTTTCTAGGGCAATATATAATATGTAGTATATAAAACCTTATGTTAACTCTACCTTCTGTATTTTATGAAACACCCTTTAAGTTTAAAAGTCTTGATTTGGAGTTTTTTTTTTGTATAGCTAAAAAATTGTTTTTTTACTATAAGGGTGGCTTCTTAATCAATAGAGCTTCAATAGAAGTTGGAAATCTGAATAAATGTATTGTCGTTATTATCTATATTATATATGAGATGCAAAGCGCCGAAAAGCTTAACCAATAAATCCATTATTTAAAGAAAAATTATCGATTTTTAAGGGATATATGAATTTTTTTTTAATTCTCTTTCAGATGTAGTCTGATTTTGAGTTTAATGTAGTTAGAAAATTTAAACCAATTTTATTTAAATATTATATTTTTGGTGCAATTGTTAGCACCTAGCGCTTGTGGGAAAAACATGTTTTTTAAACCTATGTGTTGCCTAAATTCAACAATAATTCCATACATTTAATATTACTCATATTATTTAGGCCAATAAAAAACGAAGGCACCAGATTTTATTAATAAATTGATTCAAATCTAACCTAACCTTATTATAAGTAGTTAACATTTTTGAAGAGATACCGTCACATAGTCTGTGATTTTCTAATCTAGTGAATTCATTCCTAGTGAAATCAAATACCCCTCCTTGTTTTCCTCGATACTTATAGATGTCTGTCGTTCAATAATTTTTGGTTTTGCAATCCTCTTGTCCGGGATTTCCTCGATGGTTCGTATTCCTTCTTAAGCCAAGTGGTAATATATGTAAGTTCGCTGTTCCCATTTTCCATTTAACCTACTCCAACTATTTTGGTAAAATGAAAACTAAAATAATATTCCCAGGTGTGTTCTTAACTAGGTTTAACTAGCGTTATATTGACATGTATACAAACAAAAAAAGATTCAACCAATAAAGCGTGATCAGTTATCAGATGCAATAGAGTTGTAGTGGCTATGCCAAAATAAATCTATCATCCTCCGTCGACAATGAGATACAGCCTCAGAATAAAGCCTAATCAAATGCTTTCTGTAACCTCTGTCACCTAATATAGATTAACCGTAAGCTATTATAACTTGTCGCATACCATATATGGATGTCTTTCCTCCTCTGCGATTATAGTCGCGTACATAATCGTCAAATTTACTTATTATACAAAAATTGTACATTGTAAACAAATTTAAACAAAAAAAGAATCTATTTTATAATGTGCGTATATTCTCTTTCAGTATTAATACTTTTTGTTTAATTACAATAATAAATCATATTTTAAGTGAATAAAAGGTAAATCTTATAAAACATCGTTGTAACCTATGGTCTAGGTAGAACATAAAATATGCATGGTCGAAATTTATTTAAACCAATTTTTTCTTAAATATTGCCTACACAAAACTCCTTAAAAATGGTCTGTATGGAGCCCCCTTAACCCAAATGGTCAAATGGCGGTGGCAATGCGATTTAAATACAAATCTTGTGATTACAATTTTTTTTTAAATCTCAATAATGTTAGTATTGAATGCTAAAAGTATGGAACAAGTATCTAAGCCAAGATAGGCCACAGTGTTACACTACATACGTCAGCACATACTCTACCTACACCGGTGGATTTCGAATTCGATGCCAAGTATTTGACAAAATATTAGATCCGAAAATGGCTTTAGATTAAAAGTATTATATACGTTTGTTATTATTGAAGTGGAAATACGATAAAGGTATCATAGGACGGTTGTAGATTAGGTGCCCACTAAGCAGAACACATTAACAGGTTAACGTATATAGGAAAGTATATTGGTGATTTTTTCCAGTGAGCAAGTGAGCGATTAATGTATTAAAATGTTATGTAGGCAACGGATTTTTTTTCTGTTTTTTTTTTTTATGTAAGCGAATTGGATTTTAATATTGAAAAAATTGCAAATTTAGTTTGTTTAATTAAAAGAAACTGAAATTTTTAAATGAAAAACGGCTTCCTGCATAACATATAGTAAAGTAGCCAAAGAACTCGAATCTCTTTACAGAATTTTTAATCGGACCATCCTAAGAAGTCGGAATTTCGTCTGGCAAGAAGTCACTTACTTAAGTGTCTACTGAACCGATTTGAAAAAAAATATCGTTTTTTATAAAGTTCAACACCTCTATGGGGCTTAAAGACCGATTGATTTTTATTTCTGTTTGTAAAATGTTATCGCACAAACGTTTATATTTGATACTTTTTATGGTTTTCGATAATAAATCTAACTAGTTTTCCTTTGCCCCTTAATAAATAGCGCTTTTCGTTCACGTGGATCGAACCTACCGGGCAACGTTGTTTCCTGCATCGACAAAACCCAAAACGTGTTGACTACACCCCCAGAAGGGTTGCTCGCCAATTAGAGTGCCTACAGGAGTACCTTGGGTATACTTACCTACCAACGAAAATAGTGTACTGTTACCTTTCGGCGGAATAACATACCCAATATCATATTATACAGACGACGGGATGGAAAACAAACGCTTGAAATTCGTTGCGCCCTCGGATCGACAAAACGTAGCCGGGCGTAAATAATTCCAACCGTCGACACAGTTTATCATAATAATAAATAATATATAAGGTAACATGTGAATTTATTTTCCTAAAGGAAACAATATTGCCTCGGGGTTAGCCGGATAACGCGGGATCAATAGCCAGACCTACACCATTGGTTTGCCATTGGTTTCGATGGGCTGTCTATATTTTAGTGTCACGCCAACGCGACGGCATAACTTATCTCGCACTTAGGAACGTTTTTTTTTTCTTTTAGCTTGGATGCTTCGCAGCTGAGAAGATCATATTAGATTTACAATGATGTGTGTGTGTGTTTTTTTTCCATACATATATACATGACCGTATCATGAAACGTTATTCGTTTCACAATAGGTTCGTCAATATTGACTTGTGCACACCGCACATCTCCGTTGTGGCAACTTTATTCTGTGACAAATGATCAACGCTTAACCCAAACCCCTTTATTTGTAGATAAATGTATATTTAAATGTAAAGCTATAATAACATCTGCAAAGGCGGGTCAATGGTCGTTCGATGGTGTTCGACATAACAGAGTTGTGCATCAACCGAATAATTTTCAAACGTATGATTACTTATACAGTATGTAAGTACTTATTTTTTTAAACTTTATCCTGAATAAATATATCTAAAAAATATACAAGCCTGTATATATTATTAATATTTAATATATTTCGGTAATAATAGGAAAACTATTATCATCGGAATATATTTGTATTCAAGTTTAGGTCGAATACAAACTTGTACAACTCTGAATATGTTGTATACAACACAATATCTGACTTAGCAGGTTGTTGCTTCGGCTTGGATGGTGAAGAAAAAAACACAAAAATCGTTTACCCTACTGTTAAGAGGGCGTCGCATCGCCCATTTTTAAGAAGTAAAGTATAGGCAATTTTTTACAAAATCTTAATTCAAAGGTTAAACTGTGATGTGTAATTATTAGTTCAATAACTAGGACTCTATTTTGGTAGTTAATTTATTTTTTGCACTATCACAGCATCCTTGAAAGCGATTTAAAAATGTTTTTTTCATCTCTACATGTTTTAGCAGACTGAAAATAACTCACTTAATTTTGGTTTTAGAGTAAAAGCCCCATTATAAAATTAAAAGAGAACAATATTCCGGAGGGCAAGACGGTGCGTTTTTTAATTATTCCAAGTATAATGCTCAATACAGAGTTTAGAAATAACGACTATTTTAACATTTTTAAATTACTGTAACTTTTCAAAAAATGATTTTTTTTTTTTAAAAAACGCACTGCCTTGCCCTCCGGAATATTGCTCTCTTTTAATTTTATATTGAGTGCTTTTACTCTAAAACCAAAATTAAGCGTGTTATTTTCAGTTGGCGTAAACATGTTTTTACCACTGAAAATCACCGGTGCGACGCCCTCTCAAGGTAGTGCATGGTTTAAAACCATTTATTTGATGTAAAAAAATAAAATATCAATACCTAAGCTTCAAATTTACATTCCCTGCAAATGACGAAAAAAAAAAATACTTTAGATACAATTTTAATTTCGTACTCCGAGTATCGCGGATAAACCCTCGTTTGTTTATTTTAAGGCTTTGTCAATAGTTTTTTTTTTAGTAATTTTTCAAGTACTTAAAATATAATGTACATAAAGTATATATCCCACGAGGACTTTTTTTTAGGGTGGCAAGCCCTTATATATTTTGTCGGATTCCTAGATTGTGTTTTTCATTGGCTTAAACCGACCAAGTAGGTATGTTTGTTTGAATAAAAAAAGACTGTTTACCGATTTTTTTTCCCTGTACCCACCGTGCAGACTTGTCCCATTTGTTAAGCGAACTAAAAAAAGTTACAATAGTACTTCCATTGCGTTTAAATGTTTATGGACGTTGTTTTTGATCGAATTAAAAAAGATACCATCAGCTCAATTATGTAAAATATTAATTCATACGTGAAGCTGTTCCACTCGAAACAGTTAATACAATTAAATATAATATGTTACCGTGTATATAGGTATACACTTGTCGTTACTTCTAACCCATTTCCTGGTTACATTCAAATTGAAACCCAGTTGAAGCACACCTACTTAATTATGCACGTCCATTTACTGGCTCACCGGTTTCATGTTCACAAAAACGGCCCTGTATAATAATAATATTAATACGACACCGCATTAGCCATGATAATTATCACTTTTCCCTGTACAATAAAAATAATAAAAATAATATTCTTTCTTCGTCAAACCGGGGAACGTTCAACGTGAAATAAAGTTTTTATATGTTCATACGGATTTTACTTTAAAAAAAAAAAAAAGTTTCTGACTTTTTAAGTAGGTCTGCTAATTTAATTAATATAACCACCGATGTCATCAACAGCATTACTGCGTAAAGGAATTATGGGCGTTTGGCAATTTTGACTAAAACACTTTTTTGAGCGGTAAATTAGCATAATATATATATATATATATATATATTACTTCACAGTTTTTTTTTTTTATGATATCTGTCAAAACTCAAAAGTAATCGAGCCAAATAAAAACGAGCTTAATTTAGGCTACACCGTTGTTAGGACTTGAACACAAAGCCTACTGGGCTTGCCAAAATTTCCTTTGGAATTCACTAACAAAAATCACAAAAAAAAAACTTAAATACATATAAATTAAAAACCAAATTGAAATGATAAATATAAAACCTAAAGTAAGCTAGTTTCTTAAACGGTTAAAGGGGTTGAAAGAGGGTTGAAAAATAGGCATTTAAAACAATTTGTTTTAAACTGTTGTACACGGTATAATGTTTTTTGACATATTAATACCAATATATTTATACACTATATTCCAAGAAAACTTTATATAAATTTCCAATCAAAATATGAAAACATAGTTTTGAGAAAAACGCTTTTAAAGTTTCACACTTTAAGTCTAACAAAATGCATTCAACGTTTTTTTTTTTTGGAATAAAATAAATACAATTTTTAAATCCTAAAATAAATATACTTTAAGAAAATGCAAAAAACATTAATCGAATTTTTGAAAACCTGAGTACCCTTAACCTCTTAAGTTTAGGCAAATAAATTGACTCGAGTTTTTCGCAAAAATATCCATTAATTACATTAATATTATTATACCAATTATAGTTTAATATTGTAGCTGTTATTGTAAATTAAAACGTTTACAGAGTTATGATAAATTTGTTGTAATCTATATTAAATTATCGGTTTACTCAAGTAAACTTAGTATGCATACCTGACCAGAACTATTCATGGCTTACACCATAAGCATTCTAGACCCTTTTGAAGTATGCCAAGATAATAAGTCAAGTTAGGCATGTACAATTTTTTGTTTAGTAAAGCATGTCATGGGAGATGATCGTTTGATGAAAAGAACTGAGCAAATGAACATGACGTTCTTGTTAAAAATCACGTATACCTTTTCAAGACTCTTTAGCAAAGAAATAGCATGGCATTCCTTTTAATGTTCAATAACCTCATTAAATTCTAAACTAGTATGTACAAAAACCTTTTTTTTTAATTATATAATTAAAAGAACAACTTACCAAAATATACTTGATAGAAAAGAAAGTACTTTTAATACTTTGGTACTTATTAATCAAACATTAATGTGTTTTACTTATACAACAATATTGCACTATTTTTTCAATAAATTTATTCCACTAATAATAATCAAAATTAACTTAAATTATTTAGTTTTGAACAAAATCGTATAAAACGTAATTAAACTTTTACAATAGAATCACTAATGAGTAAGTGCATATTTTTTAGAGAACATTTTACCAATAACTTGCGTTTACAATGATTATTCTTTACGTAAGAAGATTTTCTTGTTTAGCAAACAAGTTTTTAATTATTGGTTGATATACTTTTGGTTTATAGGATTTGTTGGCGATTTCATCCATTCTCTGTTTAGGAGCTGTTTCACTTGAGATAAACGCATGGATGGATTTTCAGCTCTTAATCGAGGAAGATTTTCGGCTTCGAAAGCCGTGTACGCGGCTTTCAGTCTTTTTTCCGGATGTTTATCCAAAAACTTTTGAGTAGGGCTAAAAAAAACAATAAAAATATAAATATCTATGTAAATTTAATTAAATGTAATACAATTTCTATTTTTATTATTAATTAAGTATGTACTTAAGCATATGAAGGGCTTCATCAACCGTCCTCGCTTCTTCGTCGTGCATGGATAAACGATTGAGATTTTCTTCAATAGGCGTTTCATATTCATCCGTATCGATTGATTTCGGACTCGAAGGCTTCTCAAGCTCTTTCTAAAAATTGATTGTAATTTTATCTATCTGAACTATAAAATCTACTTTTAATTTCCTACACATATTTAGCTTATACTATTACCATAAGTTGATGACGAGTAACTTTTTGATTTTCCTGTTTGGTTTTAATATCTTGAAGTTCTGCCTCTAATATCAATTGTGCTTCACGTTTTTTTTCCATGTGATCAATTTTTTTCTTCTCTTTTTCCTCCTGAAAAATCATACTGTAAAATGTACTTACCAATTGAAATACAAATTAATAATAATTGACAGTGGAAAATTCTATAATCCGCATCCATTTTAAAGGTAATGAAATCAGTTGAGAAAAATTAATTATTGTAACTCAATGGACCCATTGAGTCGGTTGCATTAAAAATATTTTAACTGAAAGGGTAAGTTTTGAAAAATGGATATCGGGTCTGCAGTGTTGATAAATCGAAGAAGAATAAAAATTGATTAAATTGAAAACGATAGGAAGAAAATATTCTGCAAAAGGTTCGGACGGACAAAATTATTAAGTCGGCCGAATTTGTTTGTGTACCGAATGGATAAATCACGAATGACCTGTTCAACAATGAATGTTATAGAACATATTATAGTGATGATAATGATGATGATTACTGTATGTTGCCGTTTAAGTTACAAAAGTTGATAAAGCTCTTAAAAATATAAAAATGTAAATATTTTCTTATACTTTTCTCTTTAGTTTTCTGGCAACATTTTTGTCGTCGTCTTTCCACAGTTCATCTTCGATAGCCTTTTTTCTATTAGCATCGGCTTCTTGTTTCAAAGCGTCTTTCCGAGCTTTGGCTTCCATAGCTTTGGAGTTCATTCCGACGAATTTTTTAGGCATTTTGGGAAAATCTGCGAGATATTCATTACAGTATAACGTCTACGGTAAAATGGTTACAACGTTTACTTACGGTTTATTTATCGATCGATACAATTAACAAATATTTTCTTTATCCTTCCCAAATAACAAAACGATACGAACAACCGGAATTGGATTTTTTAGATTATCTAAAAAAAAAAATTACTAACGTCCTCGTTTTAATTTTTTATTTTATTAGCGGAAATTCGTTTAAGAAAATACAAAAGTTAATACTGGAAATATTTTGTCGTCTCACGTTTGTGAAAAATTAAATAACATTATAATATACAACATTATATTAAAGTGATTGACCGATTGATAAATAAAAAAAAAAGTAACAAAACATGATAACCCATAGATTTATAATTTATGATAACAGGATCATATGATTGTAGTTTGATAACCACCACCACTGCTACTACTATGATAACGTTATCGGTTATACCCTTTGACCAGGTATTTTTAATTTATTATTACTCAATACTCATTACAATTGGTGAAGGCCTATATTCGTTTCCTGGTCGCCAACAACGTCGCAACTGTTAATTGATTTCCTAGTGTAAATCTTTTTATTTCGTCGAAATTTATCGCTTCACAAAATGTTTCTTGGCACCATTTTGAAAAACTCCAGAAACCTTAGCTCTAAGGTAAGTTTTGTGGCAAGTGTTTATTTACATTTAAACATTATCCGAGGGACAACACATACTAATAGTGCACTTATATTTCGTTTAATAAGGTCAATGGACATCGGCTGCAAAGCACGCTAATAATTGCCGAACACGACAATGAAAAACTAGCGGCCGTAACGCGTAACGCTCTCACTGCCGCCAAAAAACTCGGCGGAGACATATCTGTACTTGTCGCCGGTACTAAAATTGTATCGGTATGTATACTTGGGACTGTTTAAACTTGGACGTAAAAAAAATCCTAATGTGTTCGTAAAATTAATATATTCAAGCATATTGTTAAAATGTTGTTGATCAAAATTTATATTTTAGACTTTTGTTTAAGTAATCAATGTTGGTTACGTAATCAGATTGAGCTAATTTCTGTTAGGTTGAATAATATATTTAGCCTGAAAACCGGGCGCAATGTTTTCTTATCAATACCTTATATATGGAAATTTTTTACATTATCAAACAACTTTGTTAATTCCCCTGGTAAAGTATATTTAAAGTAATAAAACAAATATTTATCATTTTTTTGTTCAATAATTAAATGCTATGTAACGACTATGGTTAACAAAATCGTATTAATTCTTAATTGTTTATAATTATATTTTTATTTTTTTATGTTACGAGTTATAAGTAACAAATAGTTCTTTCTTAAATTAGCTATTTATAATAAAAATTATATAAAAATGTTTAACGACATTTCTTCATTAAAGTCCCAAAGACTCAAATTAAATAATTAAAAGATGATATTAAATCTCACAGCAATCTCTCTAAAATGTCTGTATTAATCCCTTAATAATAAACCATATGTGTTTACTATCGTTATTAGAATAAGTTACTCGAATTATCTTGACTAAAATTAGATTTTATATTTCTTTTTAAAGGTAGTAGAGCAAGTCTCCAAGGTGGCAGGTGTGACTAAAGTTTTGAAGGCCGAAAGCGAAGATTTCAAAGGATTTTTACCTGAAAATTTAGCGCCACTAGTATTGGCTACACAAAAAAGAATTAACGCAACACATATCGTAGCGGGTTCCAGTGCACAAAGCAAATCCCTTTTACCCAGAGTAGCTGCACTATTAGACGTCTCTCCTGTGACCGATGTAATCGACATTAAAGCGCCAGATACATTTGTGCGTACCATTTATGCAGGTAAAACATGAAAGATATCAGTTGTATATTATGTTATTAATAAAAACCGTTCGTGGGAGTAAACCTAGGCAAGTAATCGTCAACGTGACAATTACCGTAGCGACGTCTTAATGATATATCCGCCGGAAAACGGGAAATAAATAGTAACGGTTATAGTTCAACAATTATTATAGCGTTTACGTATTTTATTCTCCTATCTACCTGTGTGCTTCTTATTTTTTTAGGAAACGCCATAATGACTTTGAAGTCGTTGGATCCAGTCAAAATAATTACCGTGAGGAGTACTAGTTTCGAAGCGGCTGGCGACGGTGGTTCCGGAAGTGTTGAAGACGCTGTTCCTGCCGGTAGCTATGAAAAAGGCAGTGGCTCAGAATGGATTAGCCAAGAATTAAGTAAATCCGATAGACCCGACTTGGCGTCTGCAAAAATAGTCGTATCTGGAGGTAACGATAATTGTATACTCAATTACCGATAAATTTGTATATATTTAAACATTGTATTTTTTTTTTTTTTTTTTGTAGGCCGAGGTCTCAAGTCTGCCGAAAATTTCAAAATTATTTACGATCTAGCCGACAAAATGGGCGCTGGTGTTGGTGCTTCGAGAGCAGCCGTCGACGCTGGCTTTGTTCCAAACGACATGCAAATCGGTCAAACAGGAAAAATTGTTGCGCCTGTGAGTTAACTGTTCCTAATTGTTCGTTGTTTAATATTAATATTGTGACGGAAGCCCAAAATAAAGTTTTTCGTTAAAGCTATTGTTACAACGCCACGCTCTTTCTCGTTTCGATTTAATTAAATTCTACCTATATGTATATATTTTTTTTTTTCAGGAATTGTACTTAGCAGTGGGCATATCTGGTGCCATTCAACATTTAGCTGGCATGAAAGACTCCAAAACGATTGCCGCCATAAACAAAGACCCCGACGCACCAATCTTTCAAGTAGCCGACTATGGAATAGTGGCCGACCTATTCAAAGCTGTTCCTGAATTAATCGAAAAAGTAAAATAAATAAATTGTACACAGCTACGTTAAAATACAAAACGTATGTTTATTTCGATGAACTGAATCGAGTTCGGTACGACTATTCATATGTTCATAATATCTTAAACGACTGGTGAAATGATCATTTAGTAAAATATTATGTAATGTACAAAAATGTATGAATATATTTTTATTATTATACGTATATATTTTTTTTTTTTGTAAATCAGAATTATATATATATATTAGTTTTTCAATTTTCAATTATTATTTACACAATAAAAAACTTATGATTATAATATTTTTTATCAATCGCCAAATAATTTTGTTCTTCCTATTGAAAAGTTATTAATTAAATTTTTACTTTTTGTACTGTAAAATGTAACTAAAAAACAAATAATAACTAACAACGTATTTATACATACATTTATTTTTTCGATGTTAAATGGCAATACGATTTAGACGCCTAATGTTTGCTAATTGTTCAGCTTATTGCCAATATTTAACAATTTAACAACTTCAAAGATTGTTTTTAACAATTTATATGGGTATTACATTTACACTAATCCTTAAAAACCAACAATTTTACTTAACTAATATTTTTTATGGGCATTGTTTTTTTTTTTACATGAAAGCGATATCAAGTTTTTAATCTGTTCTTAAAATTTAGTAAACCTTTAAATAATGTAGTAGATGAATAATTTTTAATTTTAACTGACATTTTTAACCCTGAGACTAACATGTTGAAATTAAATAAAACTGTTTTAACCAGTCCAACCGTTTCTTGCTAAAGCGAAGAGTCTGTGTTCGTTTTCACCATGTAAACTAAATTCAAACATGCCAAAACGTTTGATTTGGTAATTTGGAACAAATAAGAACTCGGACAGATTATATACAAACATATTATTTAGGTTTAATGAATATTTGCATATGCCAGCAAAACCAAATATTATTATTTCGTGCGATTGCTGTTTACACACAAAACTGAATTTTTTAACAAGGTTGAATATAATGTAGACGCCTGTCGGCTGCTTATTAAGTCGACTATTTCATTATTTTACAGTTCCGACAATGGTCTAATATGAATATACTTAAGTAGGTTTCAAACATGAGATATGTTTTCCCCATCGAGCGAGTGTTAAAAAAAAACATATACATTAAATCAATACCTCAACAGTTGATAATTGCGTTCCCTTACCTGCTTTTTTCCACCAATTAATTCGGGTAGCACTCGATCATTTTTTGGGTTTTTTCTTTCTTTTTTTATAGAATAAAATAGGTCATATGAAGTCATTTATATAAATATATATTTTTCAATTTCAACTGGAGTACAAAAAATTGAACTATTTTCCCAAAAAGGAAAAAAATCTACAAATTATTTTGTCACTTGTACAAGTCATTGTATCATATTAACTTAAAAGTACACATTATAAAGTTATATAATATATTTTAAATTTAAAAATAAATAAATAAGACAATACCTAACATTATTAATAGCGAATTAACATTACCTTATTGTAAACATATTGTGTAAAAATAATATATTATAAGGAATTACAAACAACTAGAATGAACACAGCCGACGAGCGGTTCAATGAGCATAGTAGAGGGTCTTGGCGGGCGCGTACACAGCCGGCAGTGGCACGGGGTGCGCGGCGGCCACCAGCGGCACCGGGGCGACCACCGGTTGCGCCTTGTACGTGATGGCCACGGGCGAGCTGATGTGCTGGATGACGGGGTTGTACGCCGTGTAAGCGTGGCCCTCGACCGTGCTGTAAGCGAAGTTGCCACCCACCCTCTCGGACTGGACCACGGCGCTGTCCAAGCTAGGGGTGCGCACGAGCGTGGGCGCGGGGGCGATGACGGCCGCCGGGGCGGCAGCCAAGTAGGTGGGCGCGTGGTAGGATATCACGCCGGCGTTGGCGACAGCGAGAGCGGCCAGCAAGAGCTTTACGATAACTACCTGTAAATGATATCGCACCGCGTACGTATTAATAAAGTACGCTTATTACAAAAGTAAGCGCAAGAATTTACAGTGATTTATATAAAGCAAATGATAAAAAAAAAAACAGTGTTTTAAAGCGGTATACAATTTCGTACTGGTATTTAACTACTTAATGTAAATTATAGCTGTTATTTTGTTTGAAAACCGCAAAAAAAATCAAAAAAGAGTAGTTTAGCACTAAGTTTTAAGATGATCTCAAGTCAAGAAAATTTTAGCAATAAGTACAAAAGTTGTTTAAAAAAAACGACTTATTTAAAACGGATCGGGTAAAATATGTAAACGAAATTTGTTTTAAATAAAATATTCGACAATTTTCACTTAGAAATAAAATAATTTAGTTATACGATGTTAAATAATATGTATATTTCAATTCCGGTCAACGACCCTTTGTGGTCGAGGCCTTTTCTTTGTAAAATAAAAATATAATATACATGTACAATAGTGTATATATTTTGCTTCATTCGCTTATAGTTACCTACTCATTATGACCCTACATTTTAACAGACAGATGATTGACATTAAATATTTGATGTATATTCGAGGTACTAAGACAGCACCTATTGGTTTTACAATGAATGTACTCATTTTTATTTTAGTCAATATAGATATTAATTAATTTACCTTTCAAATCAATAAAGTAATATTACTCGTATTGTCAAGTGAAATATAAAAAGCATACAAACATCAGCAGCAATATTGGATTCTATTATTTCCTATTATATCCGATTATAAATTAATCAATCAAACCACAAAACAGAATATCGTTTCGCAACAGTTGCAAAATGCAAAACTACTCTCAAAAAGTTGAAACGAACGAAAAACCATCGTCCCTTCTTAGGGTAAAGGGATTAAAATATTGTATTTGTTCATGCAAATTGGTGAGGTACTACTTAAAAAATAGCCCATTCAGATTGGGAACATTTTCCATAAGTTGTAGTATATATGAACCATTTGCTTATAACTAGATACTCCATCTTAATCTACCAATTTGGCCTTATTGTTTTAAGTTGTTATTATGTTAAGTGTACATGAATAATATCTTATGAACGGGTTAGAGCTTTCATGGAATTATATTATGTTGTTTTTTCTAAACATTACAATTTAAATTATAATGACCACATGGCCATAAAGAGCTGTTAACACATTTTTTAATTCTTTCAAACGATAATAATAAAGCTTCTTTTTTAAACAACAAAATTACATTTATTTTTTCTTAAAATGTTAAATTGTCAAATATTTTTAGTTTAAAATATGTTTTAAGTGAAAATATTCAGTAAATGGGTAAATTAATGTTATCAAATAAAATACATTAAATGTAATAATATATTAAGTACACCTTAATTTTTTTGGTCGGTATTTTAATATTGAAAAACATGACTTACCTTCATCATGTTTTGGCGGTTTTTTGTAGTTTTGAGAGTAATTATATTATGAACGAATATAGGTATAGGGAAACGCACTGCAACGACCGTCTGTAAGTCTGTGATGCTGCTGCTCGTCAATCCTTAATGTCTTATATAGACGACCAAAACAATTCCCTCCCTCCCCCCCAAAATCAGGGGTTTGTGCACAGGCAAAATAACTCCGGAGGACTCCACCCATAAGAGACCGCACTCGCATAAGTCGCCTCGACCTTGATTCAAGTCGTCATGACAATAATATATCTTTTAATCTATATCATAGAGTAGGTATATATTGTATATATATATATATATATATATATGTATATTGTACAATATAATATACTCAATGTCTATATCTACGATACGCTTACCACATACTAACAGTATTATAACACAATCAAAATATAAAACATACATTATCCATAACTGCCTACATTCAATTTTGAATTAGTAGGTATGTCGTCAAATACATATTGTACTATAGGTAGCTCCGTTTCAGCTGTTTTATCCTACCTAAGAAATAATTGAAAATTAAATAAACACATAACACTTAATCAGATAAAATAATATTATCATTGTTTTTCACCAATTCAGACCGCAAATGCCAAATACACAAGAGAAAAAACCAAAATATTATTATTCATACAACTTGTAAAAAATAAATCCAAGCTTATCCAATTATTGACAACTCGGTTTTTAATTTTTTGTTTGAAAATATTTAAATAAATGTCGAAAACCACATTTTGTTCCACTTCAAAATACAATAACGATTAATTAACAAAAAAAAAAAAAATTAATTTTATTTAAGCAATGTTATTCATTATTGAACGATAGTTTTATTTTTGTATTAAATTTGTCGATTAATGGCAAAATCTGAGTGTAGACATATTAATACTCATCTTTTTTTCTCGGTTTTCCCTTTTCCAGATAAAAAGACTGAACAGCTCAGTATCGCTTTGTTTTATTTGAGTTCAGCATCTGGTCGATTCGTTGAATTCCATCCCAAGTTGTTTTTCTCCTCCACACCGGTCGTCCATGTTTTGTTGTTTGCTTATTTTTTTTTTTATTATGTTTCTAGACAATAATATTATTATTTTGCTGGCGTCGACACCACAGCAGTATAAGTTATCTCTACATTCCAAGTATATATAAATAAATAATATAAAACATTTAAAACTGTATAATGTAATTTTTTCAACGCGAGAAGGCTGCAATGATGAGGTCTGGACAGGATAATGCAGTTATTTATTTTAGTCTTTTTTGGATTTTTATGAAGACCAAATAGAATAAAAAATTGGGCGACTGATTAAATTTGTATTATAAAAAAAGGTATACATTGTTATTAACGAGGCGGATCGGTACTACATTAACTCAATAGTACTAATACTATTAATTATAGTACCTAGTAAGCAACCAATATTTATTATTATCATTATGGAAAATAAAAAGTAACCGAATTGCCAATTTTTTCTAAAAATAAAATCGTCCATTTTTTAATTAAATAAGAATACTGTTTAGAAAAAACTTACAAACAGAATTAAAAATTGTCAAACCGCCCTGAAAGAAAGTTGTGGATATAGACTGAGAAAAACTTTAAGTAAATATTCCATCACTTTAGTTGACCTTCTAAACTCGACTAACTGACTCCAAATTTGGGTCGACTACACTGACTAATTTTATTGGGCGAAAAAAACAAAATATAGTTTTTCTATTCCAAATTAATTAAAACTGTATAGTTGTTAATATATGATATATTCTAAAGGTTATTGCAGTAAGAAGGGTTAACCGGACTCGCTGGTGTTCCATTGTACAATTTTAACGAATTTTGCAGCTTACCTAACCCTATATTTCCCCTATTAACAATTTGGGAAGTATAAAATTTAAGCAACGGCTTGGGAAATAGGGATAAATACAAATTACTGTTAATAAGTCTGTCCCACTCTCCATAATAATATTATTATTTGAAAAACAATTTACCTTCCGAGTACGCCTGCAACACTGTCGAACGTTTCGACTGCGTTTTTCACGGTTCGTACGTATGCTATGTATAATATTATGTGCACATATTGATGATAGTAATTATGATAATAATAATAATTATTATTATAGTGGTACAATATAAGAATAACATATAGGTATAATGATTGGAAAACACTGGAAGGCGACGGGATACAAACAAAACGGACCCCGGCCGGGTGCGTCGCGGTTGAACGACCGGCAAGCACAATTTCGCCGCCAAAACTTGACCGGAGGCAGCGTTCACCGCGGCGGTTTCTTTCTTCTCGTGTTCTCGTCGGCTAAGAAGTCTTAAATTCACGTGTAGGTACGACGATGAGTGTATGTTTTTTTTTATTTTTATCTTTTTTTTTTCCTTCAAATATATATATATATATATATATATATATATATATATATATATACATACATGTATGTAATATAAGAAAAGCTCTGCGGGCGGACGACGCGACAAAACACAAACCGGTTTTGGGTGGAGACCAGAAGACATTAACCTTGGCGGCGCTCTAAGAAGGTTGTGCATGTTTTTATTTTTTTACAACAACTTGTTGTGTGTACGACCCGAGAAACGCCCGACTTGGTAATAGTATCAGCTGGAACTGCAGTTGTAGGTACACTGTGTCCGTGTAACAAAAATGGATTTGTTTTATTTTGTTGGACATCTTTTGCCAATAGAAAAACTTACACAGTCCAAACGAACCGAGTTTTTGTGTTGGGGTACTTGGACGGCGTCGACTTTGCCTCAAAAAATATTATCATGTTAAAAGTTATAAATTATAACCGTTGACATAATGTATACATTAGGAGACGTATTATTGTGAAGTGTACAAACAATCGCGTTATGCGTTTGACGTTAATTGAAAAACAGCTAAATGGTCTTCGTTGCTGTTGAAAAAAAAAGCCTCGTGCCTTTTCCTTAGTACAAATGTTAACAAGTCAACGTTGCTTGAATTGACACTTATGAACTTACAAGTGCACGGTTTATTTTTGACTAACGAAATGCGAGTCTTAACGAATATTTGACGTTAATTAAATAGGTTGTTTTTTAGTAAACGTGGCAATTTTTTTTAAATGTAATATATAGGTAATGTAATGTAATGTATACTCAGGCAAAGCCAGGCGGGTAGTCGTTCCTCTCCTGACGGTTTCCTATCGCCTCCCTTAACGTTGTTTATGAAATAATAATAAAAAAAATGTTATAATAGTATGTCAAAATAACAACAAAATTAACGTCTCCCGAGTTTTGTATTTAAAGAATGTCCGTCAACATCTGATAAAATATGCAATATTGTATTTTCCAAAAGGGCGGTAGAAGGTTGTATTTAACCAGCTATAGTGTAATTAATTTTTGCTTTGGGGGTGCTCGGCCGATGGCACCCCGTGTGTACTAGCACTGCTACCCCGCCTCGTTAATCAACGCCACTGTCATTGGGCGGTATAGGTATTATTATACTATGCGAATGTCTGAAAAGTACACAATATACCATAGTGTTGCAAATATTGTTATCCTGTCCGAATGAAGACGTCGCATGCATAAGTAATGCAATCTATTCGTCGATTTCATCTACGCCGTCTGTGTAAAAAAGTCTTAAGGTTGAATGGACTCGTCGGACGGACATAACGCGCGAATTATACATAATAATAATAATAATAATAACAAAAACAAAATATCGCAGGCATTATGTGTGGCGCTCAGTTGCCAGTAGCTACGGCCGACGTTGGCGAATATTTCCGGCCTTTGTGGCGGTGGCGGTGGCGGCGACGACGACGGTGGCGTTTCGATATCATAGTTCGGACACTGGCGCAGAGTGCTCAAGTCGATAGATGGAAGGTCGACGGTTTTCGTCCACGGACCGCCGGCGAAGTGCTGATATCCGAAAGGCATTCCCACAGCTATGTCTCCGTCTCTCAACCCGAACCAGGACATGACCGCCTACGGCAGCAACGTGTCTTCCATGCCGGAGTTCGTGACGCGAGACGAGCAACAAGAGTCGACGGCCATCGAAGAAAAACTCATGGTAAAACTAGAAATTACACGTGCGAGGCATATAACACATGGCTATTAGTAATAATTAGGAGACTAGTGGCCAAAAAAAAAAAAAAATCCGGCCCGAAGGACCAAAAACCAACCGTATGCTTTCTCTTAATAACTGTTGGTAAAAAAACGTACAACTATTCGAAACCCCTGTGGGAATATAAGAATCACAAACAAAAGGGTCTAACTGAGATTGGTTATTTTAAAAAAAAATCCGGCCCGAAGGACCAAAATCGGTTTTACGCTTTTTTTCTCAAAAACTATTAAACACGCTTTAACACCACAGCTCACCTTGTAGGGAAAAAGTTTCCTCATAACCCACCTTTGAATATGCGACTGATTTTGTCGGTAATTGTTTTTTTCAGTTATGATAATAATTGAGCCTTATTCTAAAATTTAATGACATTCTGTGGAATATTTTTAAAAATTAATAAGTTAATTCACTGGCTAAATTGTTTAAGTATTTGTATTTTATTATTATTATTATTACAAATTATTAAAACGCATTTCTTTGCTGAATAGGCCACTGTTTGACACCGTAAGCACCTACATACTATTTTGTTTACCTATAAAACCTATAAAGATTGGATTATTCTGTAACGGTATTGGACATTAGATAATGACACAGATCTAAAATATTGACACAAAGGTTTTGTCTATAACCGTCAATAGAATTCTCAGCGGCACTCGTCGGCTTGTATTGTGTTCATATTCTAATGGCAGACAAAACTTTAAAGGTGCTAACGGTAATAATAATGATACATTGAAATTAGATACGAATCATGAAACGGCACAAGTACTGGATGCAGAGTGCATGCCGGATGATGACATTATTTTCATATGCAAATAACACAAAAAGTTTTACTAAACGACTAAGTGCACAACTGTTTAAATTACACAATCTTAATTCGTCCTATCTGCCACAGCTAATCTGCACGTTATAAGTGATACATTATGTCCCGTTAGTTCTTTCTTACAGTTGACGAAGGCGTTAAATACAACATAAAAATTTGACTTTATTGCACCTTCTCGGTATTGCATCTATTTAGGGAATAAAATTATACTTGTGGCTTTTAGGTGGCTGTTAGAATACGACCGTTACCTGCGAACGAAATGGACAGAAGCTTATACGTGGTCGATTCTAAGGTAAGCTTAACACAAAATATCCAACTTTCAACATGAACTTAAATATTAAAATACTAAAGTGTCCGGTAATAATGGCGTGGCACAAAAAAAACTAGAGTGCATTATTAAATTTAAATAATGACGGTTAAATAATTTGCATTGTTTTTTTTTTCACCAAATATTAATTACACTTTTTTTTTCAAACTCGATTGCAAAAAAAAAATAAAAACAATGCAACGATAAAGCATGCATTGTCATTTAAAAAATTTTACCATTTTGGACACGCTATAATATTATGTTACTCGATTGTGCACATCAAACTGAATTGTAGATACAAATCAATAATGGCGGTGCATATTGCATAAACAGTAATTGCAAATATTTAATAAATAGTAAACCATATATTATTATGATCATGACATATCGTGTTGGAACACTTAGAACATATCGATTTAGGTGTTATACATACATATAGTGATACTTGATTGATTTACACAAATTGGTCATGTACCAATAATTATTATCGTACACTAAGGGACACAGAACATAATATTTGTAAATTATTATGTAAATAGACAAAACAATTGATGATAATGAAACACTTACAATAATAATATGTTATTCTGTTTAGGAAAATGGTTGATTTTATCTATATTATTAATCCAATAATAATTTTAGGTTTGATTTAAATAAACCAAACGGTTGCTAGTAGCAAATACATTTGTTATCGATAAAGTATTAAAATAAAACAAATAAAGTTATTTTTAATAATTGCGCCTGGAATCCAATTAAATACCGACTATAATACACCAAATATTCTATTTGTTTGATCCAAGTCCGTTACTGAGAACTAAACAATATGGCACTTACTATCGACACAATAGACAATTTTCAAAACTTATTGTTTTAGTTGTTGCTAAGGTTTGATTGATTTCTTTTTATTATTTAACTAAATAATATTACTTGTTCTCTTATATCATTTTTACATTTTATTTCTCATAAAATAAAGACTGATAGGTAAGTAGTTGATACGTCGTACCTTTTACACGTGATTATAATTATTATGAATATTTAATGCGGATATTCCCTTTTTTTTTTATACAGGTACATTATAATATTGATTAGGTATATTATAATATATATTATGTACATATAACCTTGAATAATAGGGTGGACAAAGTGAAAACATACACAAACTAATATTCAATATCGACAACAGAACGTCAATTATTATGTTGACGGCAATCATTTTCGAAGTGATTAAACAAACAAGTGTTCGGTGGTTCACGGTTGACCGGAAAGAGAGCTCTTTACAAATACCCTCACTCTTCAACATACCTATTATATTATGACCATGTTCATGAAGTATAAAATACTTAAATGATTACAAAATTGATTCCCTTGTGTTTTTACAGGATCGAGTTAAATTATTATAAAAGAATAGCCATTACGAGCCTAATGCTTAAATATATCACGCACATATTCATTGAAACAACTTATTCCTTTTAATTTGTACACAATCTCTATTGTTTATTATGATACAAATTGTGTAATATATACATAGCTATTGTATATGGTTATTATCATGTGTAATAAGACAATTTAACAACAAAATTTACATAACTAAATCATATTATAAACATGAATAATATAATAAGGTGCAATCTTTTATACTTCATTAACAATATATCAACATTTTGAGTTTTTTTGTTTTCAATATTTTATATTGATGAATTGGTACGAAATTCAATGGTCAAATATTTTATTTACAAACTATTTCACAAACAATTTTTGCAATTTTATGTCAAACCTTTTCACAATTTTGCTGCATTATTAAAAGAAAATAATTAAAACGTTGCTTTTTTTACAGTATTTTAATCTAGTAGATACCTACAATATATTAATGCATTATAGTTATTAATACATAGGTATTATAAAAATATTTTCATATAATTTGAAATATTTCCATATTACACAACACTTAAAATTCGAATAGAAATGGACTAAACGTTTTTTTTTTCAAATATACTTGTCAGCTGGTATAAGACCTCGCAATATATACAAAAATTGTACATTCTACCCTTGTCTTGTCAACACTTGACAGCCGTCTATTGTTGTTCTAAACACGTTAATAGTTTTACCCTTTATAAGACCAAGGACACGTCACAAAGGCCAAAAATTATTTACACAGACTTTTAAAACCTAACCTAGATTGGGTAATTTCCGTCTGATTAGTCGAGTAATTATATAAAAACAATATTGATTACACTGAACTAGAAAATTGTCGCTCATTAGATACACTTAAACGATACTTATTGGATAATTTTAATCGATTAACACAAATTACATAAACTTATAACATTCCATTAACGTTTTATGGTATTATTAATAACATTATTCGGAGTTTCGTCAAAAACAAATGGGGGCAATGACAGAAATTCATTGATTATATTTTGATAATTAATTTTATCTAATGTTGGCGACACTGTCATAGTTAAGATACCGTGATTGACCTTAATGATAACCAGGTTTTCAGCGCCCATTTAAATTAATTATATTGATATATCTTACTCGATCTTAAAAATTCGTCTCATCTTTTAAGTTGTAATTACTACAAGTAAGTCAATTTATTTTGATTCATTTAAGTATAATTATTTAGTAAATTTAATCAGGAAGATTATTCGACTCAAGTGTAATTTTTTTATTTGTTATGAATTAAAATCGTTTAATTTATAATAATTATTTAACCATTATTGGCATAATAAACAATTTGAGAAATTTAAATTAATGGTTTAAACGGTTTGTCTAAATTATTTATTTAGTTTTGCATACAAAAAAAAAATACTAATTTGTAATTAAATATTTTGGCGTTTTGGGTTTGCTTATTTATAAACCGCAAATACTCTGGCCCACGTCTAATAGACAGTTAACGCTTTTTAGTTTATTTAATTCGAAATTGAATAGTCGCAGATTTTAGACTAATGTTTAATTTTAATTTCTGTAGAAGCTAAGTATAATATTATAATGTTTCAACCCATTCAAACTTATTATTCTTACTGGAAAAGTTCCAACTTTTAAAAAAATATAAAATATTTTTTTTTATACCTAGGCTTTTGATAATAATTTATGTTTAAATTGTTTTAGGCCAACGTTAACTTAAAATGTTGACTCTACTTGATAGTGTTTTTTAAATGAATTCACATTTTTTTTGATAAATAATATTTAACGAAACGTTTACATTTATGTAACGTACCTACTTTGCTGAAATAGTATATATATATATATATATATATATATTATTTAGAATATAATTAACGGATTTTTTCGGTAAATACAATATGCTAATGTGTTAAATAAAAAGTTTTAAACTAAGAAAATATTATACTGTACTATGGTTCAGCACTACAGTGAGTTGTTTGTGAGGACCGCGTTACACTTAGCATTCAAAAGTAATTTATATTATACAATAAGACCCGCAACTCCTTTGAACCTCTTGTGGTAGGTATTAAATTTCATTCGGACATGCGACCCTTAAGGCTGACCTGGATCCATTTTTATTAGCAGCCAAAGTTAAAGAGTTAATATTACCCGTTATCTTGATCGAAAACACCAAGTGACCTGTTTAATTTTTAGGTAATTTGCATTCTGTGTTATTATAAGCAAAACGTCGCCAGTCACATACATAATAATATTATATCATAATTATTTACAATAACTTTATTGTTCAATTGAAAATACCAGTTGAAAAATGAACCAAGCCGAATATATTAATAATATCATTCAATCAACCGTTTGTATCCACAGAAGCATAAAATTATGTACAACAATTTTAATTGGTATAATAATAAGGTCAAATAATTATAATATATTTCAAGACTTGGTTCATATTATATTTTTAATAACACATTTTTTTTGAGAAATTCAATTATGTTACACTTTATTATCGGAAATGTTTATTGCACAGTTATAAGTTTAAAAAAAAATGTCTTAAAGAGTAATTCCTCATCAAAATGACATTGCCCGACTTAAATGCGATAAATTAATCGTTTGGTGACATTGCTGTGTTAATAAATAGTACTGTTTTACGATTATTACTGTAAACAAAAAGATTAATAGGAAAATTTTAAAAAAAATCCTTTTTATCGTCAATTTTTTTTTTTGTATTTAAATAAGTACTTACAAATACCTACCAAAAACTATTTTATAGTCAGATGTTTATCAACAATTATTGACAAATCGGCTTTAGTGGTTTAATCTGATTACCTCTTTACGAATAATAATAGTACTAGTAATGTTTTAATATTATGAAACATATTATAATGTAGTTAGGGGTACCAAAATTGAGTCATACATTTTTTAACAACCAGAGGTAAAATATTGATTTATTGTCCGGTATATTTCGTCAATGTCATAACACTATGACATTCGTGCCCGTTAAGTAGTGTTTATTGTAAGCTGATATCAAAAAAAAAATGTATATATATAGATATATTATGTGTACTCACGATTAGTATAAGTATACTTTTTTATGGGATGTAAAAATCAAATAGCTGTAATAAATGAATAACCAACTAATATACCACAAAACCTCTTTCTTAAAATGTAATACCTACTATAAACATTAGGTTATGGTTTAGTTCTAAAAAAATCTAGCTGATTTAAATTTAATATTCATTTATTTTTATGCTTACCTATAAAATAAAAGCTGTCATGCGTTTATATTTCAAAATATGAATATATTTGTTTATGAATGATAAGAATAATACATTAATACCGTATTCTCATGACAACCCTCATTTTTTTTGGCATAAAAAACAATTCAAAAGAGAAAAAAACCACTGATTTAATGTACGAATTTACACGACATAATAATAGCTTACTTACCATTACCGTTAAAACTACCACCTCCAATTCTTCACTTGCACATGTTTTTACCGTGTCCGCTTGAAACATCAGATTGAACAATAAATAATATAGTTTTCCGTCAAAACAAAGATTATAATCTCAGATGTGCTGTATTGAATAAAGTACTTGAACTTTACATATAAACACATTTATTCAGAATTAATTAACTTTTATGTTATCTCATGAGTGTAATTTATACCAATTTTCTACTAAGATCTATAACTATCATGGAAAATAAAAAAAATTAATCAAAAGTTTTAACTTTTTATTTTTTTATTTTTGGTTGCAGATTGGTAGGGTTACATTTAAAGAATACCTCAATCCAATTGAAAACCTTTTGGAGTATTTTTTCGAAAAATTACCGCTTATCGTATTTTGTAGTATTTTTGTTACATTTTTATAACACAAAAAGAGTTTAAAGTTTGAATTATACCAAGCCGCATACGACCTATAACTCTACCTTTTCATCGTACCTGTGTATTTATTTTAACATTGTAGTGTTTAATCACAACTGAGAATGAGTACATTTGTATTGTATTAAACAAATTTTACCAATTGTTTCATAAATAATGATAATGAACAAACACACAACATGGAAATACGATAAAATATATCTGTCTATTTATATAATTACACGGCTTGAAAGTATATTTTTACAACACATAAAGAGTTTAAAGTTAGAATTATATTGATTTTGGTGGTGAAGAAATCGGTTTTTCGTACAAATCTTTTGGGCAGACTAAGATGGTCCGGTAATTTTCTATTGCTCCTTTCACGGGTAGTATGCGTACGGAGAAGCGAAAGTCTTGGCTACGTAAGGGTAAGCGCCGTAGGAAGAGACGTAAGAGGCAGTGTAAGGGGAAGCAACGGCCACCGGAGCGGCGGCGTAAGGGGCGGCGGCGTAGGGTGCAGCAACGTAGGGTGCAGCATACGGAGCAGCGTACGGAGCAGCGTATGGAGCTGCGTATGGCGCAGCGTAGGCGGCAGCGTAGGGGGATGCGACCAACGGGGCTGCGAGCAGGCCTCGTTTGCTTCGGTCGGCGGCGGCGGCAGCTGGCTGAGCTGAAGACGGTTTTGCTTCTTCGGCGGCGGCAGCGAAGCACATGGCGATGGCGAGCACAACGAAAGATACCTGAAAAACAAAAACAAGTAATTTTAAAACATTATCATACTTCACATAGGAATTAAAAACCAAAAAAATGTACAAGAAAAACAAATAAATTGAAAAAAAAACCGAAGTTAATCCTGATTTGGAAGCACTTGTTAAATGAACATAATATGACACATAATGTTCTTTTGTATTTGATAGTGTCGTTTTGAACTAACACAATCAAGTATGAGTACATGGATAAACACTTAAGCTAAATACTAGGTATATGTTCGTTTCTAGTACAAACAAAAGATAGTTGAAACGCAAAATTCAACATTGAAATATTTATAACTAATTTAATTTTCCGCATATTTATCAAACGACAGTAAAGAAACACCATACTCTAAGTTTTATAATAGACAAAAATTTAGCTAAGTGATATTGTTGTCTTATTAAATTGACTGCCATCAGATTAAAATGAAAACAATTTTACATAATATCTTATCTGTAATTGTGTAATTGGTCGCACACCAATTTTTAACACCCTAACAATAAAATTATACTACTAAACTTTGGGAAATATTATTAAAACGCTACATGTCTGACTAATAAATGGATATTAAATATTTTTCAACCGTCTTTATCGAAATTTTACCTAACGTCCTTAAAAGAATATAAACATAATATGTTTGATGTAGGTGAAATAACAATTTACCTTATGCAAAAAAAATATGTTATACAATAAATTTAAAAAATATATATGTGGTTGAAATATTGTCAAAATGATTTTTAACATTTAAGATATTATAAACATGAATAGTATTTTTAGGTAAAACCAACTTTAATAAAACGTTACTGGTCGAATATTTTATCTTAATCCGTTGAAAGCATTTAAAACAATCGTTATTATTAAAATTGTTTTCTTAACGAATAATTGGTACCGTATGAATTAAAATGTACCCATATAGACATATCCGGTGAATGGTATAGTTAAAAATCTTACTTGGAATTTCATGTTGATTGGTTTGTTTTGTTGTCTTGGTGTTTGCGACGAATGTAACGATTGTTGACAAGTTGAAGACTGATACTCTCCATCGGTCTCGTGGTGCTTTATATACTGTACATTTGACCATGCAACGCCCAATTATTATTCTGTACACCCTCAACACAATTACAGCATAGGATAGCTGATGCCAAAACGGTAGGTAGTTCATGTAATATACGATACGGTTCAGTAAGTTCCATATTAGCTGTTCCCTTCCCAGACAAAAATAAAATAATTTAAATTAATAAAAATAACAATAACTTAATGTCAATAACAGTTTAAAAAATGTTCAAAATATTTAAAACAACGAAAACACACAAAAAAAACAATAATATCGTAACAAATAATAATATACACACAAACAATGTTAGTTAGAATCATTTATATATTCTTTATGAAAATCAAATTTAGTATATTTATATTCTAATTAGTGTAAACAGTTTGTATCTATTAGTTCTATGAAGGATATAATATATTTCGATTTATAAATGCAGCTCATCGATTCAGCCCAAATCTCCACAACAAGTCAATGTAAACCTAAAAAACTTAAAATATGCAATGCTTTCACAACTTCTTAAACCATCGAAACTATATTAGTCATAGTTTTTAGTTGAAGCTTTTATGTTTAAAAAATGTACTGTTAAAATATTATGGAAAATATGGGTATTTTCAATAAAATAACAAGTAGCAAATCATTATTTTTAAATAATTACTTGCCAGAAATATATTTGTATTTAGTGAACCAAACAATTTATTATTTAAAATACTATTAAATAATATTTAGTTTTTATATTAACTGTATCAAATTATTTCTTTTTACTTGAAATACATTTTAATTTGATTGTTTCAGGTAAACTGTTATATTTAATGATTTTTTAAATAAATATTTAAGTAACTAATATTTAAAACTTTATTTTAGTTTGTTCCACTTCTTACGGACAAAATCATTCCATACATGAAATTATTTCTCTTCGCTAACAATAATTTTGCACTATATTTGTATTGTACATTACTAATAAGTATTAATGAACGCATTCCGACCTAATATGATAATTTTTTTTTATTATTTGTCCCTCTCGTAGCAGTATGTGGTAAAAACACATTTCTTTTTTTTTGTTAATATTTTAATATTTATTTTTAATGGTCGCGAGCAACAGTTTTCAAGAAAATGTCTAAGTTTTAGTTTTAATTTTTTTTAGGAACAAAAAATTAATTTTAAACAAATGTTCAATTTATCAGTAGAAAAATAAAAATGGATTAGTATGTTTTTAATATCAAAAAATGACTTTTGACACGAATTTAGGACTTAGAAAATAAAATTATTGAAACTTATATGTATTAATCCTGAAATACTATCCTTATGTAATTTGTTTAAGGGTTGAACATATTTTAAACTTATTCCTCATTAATTTTCAAAGAAAACTAGGATACTTAAATGATACATTTTTTCTACGTTAGACAAAAACAATTATTTTAAGAACTGACAGAAAAAACAAGATTTTAATAACCTTGACTACATTTTTTACAAATGGTTTTTTTTATTATAGATTTTGTCTTGACTACTCGAAGCAAGTACTGTGTTTGTAAAAAATTCTTCTTGTTTGGTCAAAACAGGGTTGAAGTCTTGGGCTAGGGCAACGCCTCTTTCTGCTAAATCATTGGCAACTATCCAATTGTTAACAATGCCATAAATGTTTAAAACTTGTTTCTTTCTTTATGTCTACCCTAATACATATACATATATACTTATTTATAAGGGTCAAAACGCTAAATACGAGCCAACCCTGCCGCAGGTGCTTCCGTCGAAAAACGGTAAAAAACGACTACATTAATAAAAAATAGTTGAAATAATTATGTGTAAAAATAAATTATTTTTCTGTTTTTCGACTTTTCTATGAAATTTAACCTCTCTTTTTTTTTAAGCGTTTTTGATGGTGAAAATAGATTGATATTTATACTTTTAAATTTCTGAAAAAAATACTCAAATTTTGGGCAACACAAAAAAAACCACTTTTTAAATTATAAACACAATTTTAATGACTTTATGTTACCCGAAAAAATAAATAAATATGTTTAGCTTTAAAAATCTGAGATTATTTTACATTAGAAACTGATTTTTAATCTTTTTTTTTGTTTTTGATGGCCGAAGATACTATAAAAAAACAATAATAAAAATAAGCCTGAAGAAAAATATTAAAAATTCTTCAAACGACCATAGTCAAAACAACATAGGCAGAATAGGTTTTAAAAAAATTCCCCGGGGGGAGGGGGCATGCTCTAAACGTTTCTTTTTATATGGCGTTTTGACCCTTTTACACATAGTATATACTTGCCCTGGAATATTATGTTATGCATATTGATTAATATAACATGGTAACTTTATTAAAAATATCTATTTTAAATTTGATGAAAAATTACAAAGTCCTATTATTAGTAAAATTATGTTATTCTAGCAATTAATATTTGAAAATTTTAAGTAGGTTATAATTTTTTTTTTTTAATGAGACGTTGGTATTAGATAAGTTGAGCCAGTAGTTTCCATGAAAGCATTTGTATAATAGGTTTTTTTTTCTGTTAAAATTTGTGTAGGATGTATTATTTCTATTATTGACAAAATTGTTGTTGACACCTATACTTATATGTTGGCCTTAAGAACGTTTATTTTTATAACGAAAACTATGTAATCAAAAATGTATCAGTGATATATTTTGTGTACACATTTATGAACTATATCGTAGACAATTTTTGTTGAGTATCTGTCACTTATATAATATAATATCGACTAATGCCAATAGCAAAAATATTCATTTCTTATAGTTTTTCTATACTAATATTAAAGTCTAAATTTAGACAAATCATCTCAAACTACATTAACAGATTGTTGTAATTCTATTAAATTGCTTATCTTTTTAATTATAATTGTTTGGCATCCATAATATATCACCTATAAAAGGAATATGCAATACGCTTGACGCAGTCATACTTTTTGAAGAACAGCAGTTGAAGCTTAATAAGTACAAAAATACACATAATATATAAATATTTACAATATTTTATTGCTTCCATTCTTTACGTTTTTTGTTCTGTATTTATAACTTATACATTTTCAAAAACCATGTTTAAATAATTTTAATTTTTCAAAAAAAAAAAATTTTTATTTTAAAAAGTGTATAAATAAGTATTATGTGTTTAAATAATAAGTTCAAACATTTTCTACTAAAAAAAAAAATATTTAAACTCAAATATTAATCTGTTTTAGTGAATATTTACATAAGTAATTTTTAACGCATAGTTAGTCGTTTTGAGAGCATAACTTCCGTGCTTTAAATTCAAGAAGTATTTTTGATAATTTAATCATTTCATTTGTTAATAAATGTACATAGTCAGCAAACAGTCTCGAACGTTGTCATGTACGCTAATCTCATAAATAAAACATAAAAAATCTGGTTTGATATTGTTTTGATTTAAATAAACCCCCTTACTAAAAGTTTCTCCTGCATTCTAATAGACACTAAAATCAAATTAAAATTAGGTAATAATTATTAAATATACACAAAATACTTAGAAACATGACATTTATTTACAGTACTTTTCAAACATATTTTTTTAAATGGTCTTGTTTTCTGTTCATATTATGTATCCACAATTATATTATCAGATTATGGACTTTGCTTGGATCCCAACAATCGTAGTGGTATTAGTGATGGGATTCCAAAAATCCGGATTTAAAAAAAAAAACTATTCAAGCCACTTAACATATTTTAAGTATTAAATATTATTACTACTACAATATAAATGTGTGTACCTAAATAAAATATTTTTGATGAAAATATAAAAAAAAAACACAGAACAAAAAGATAGTTTCCTTTTCAAATTCGGCTTTGTTGAAATCTGAAAATCGAGAATCCGAAATCCAAAAACAATTTATTGTCAAAGATAAGCATTTAAAAAAAATATTTTACTTAATTGCACAGTTTTTTATTGCAATAATATTTAATATTTATAAGATTTTTAAGTAGCTTAAAAAACATTTTTTTTAAAAAATCCGAATTTTCGGATTCCTATTACTAAGTAATATACAGAGTTGTTCAAATTTCATGCTGCAGTAATTTTTTCTATAAAATAATTTTTTTTAACTATAAAAGTTCCACATAAATATATTATTTTATATTTAAATAATAAAAATAATTATAATTTTAAATTTAATTTTAAAATATTGTTTGGGTGGATAATATTAAAGGCTAAATTTTAAAAGTCGAAGAACAACCAATTTATTATATTTACCTATGAAAAGCAGATTTATATAAGGAGAATAATGACTGTTCGATAACCAGTTTTCGATTCATACTTCTCGAGTTATTAGCTTATTATGAACTTAAATGTTCAAAAACTGAGATGAAGTTGATTATAATGAATTTATATAAGCACCCGTACTTCTCTCCATATCTAAACTTTAAATGATAATAACTCAAAAGTATTTATTTATATTAATAGATATTTAAATTATATATATTTTGTTATTTGAATTTTATAAATTGATTTTTAAAAATACATTTATAAAAACAATTTTTTGTATTAAAACAATTTTTGCCAATTGTTTAGTAAATAATAATAATAATGAACAAAACATACAACATCAAAATACGATAAAATATATCTGTCTATTTATATAATTACACGACTTGAAAGTACATTTTTACAACACATAAAGAGATTAAAGTTAGAACTGTATTGGTTTTGGCGGTGAAGAAATCGGTTTTGGGCAGACTAAGATGGTCCGGTTATTTTCTATTGCTCCTTTCACGGGTAGTATGCGTACGGAGAAGCGAAAGTCTTGGCTACGTACGGGTAAGCGCTGTACGAAGAAACGTACGGGGCAGCGTATGGGGAAGCCACTGCGTAAGGGGTGGCGGCGTAAGGGGCGGCGGCGTAGGGTGCAGCAACGTAGGGTGCAGCGTACGGAGCAGCGTATGAAGCTGCGTATGGCGCAGCGTAGGCGGCAGCGTAGGGGGATGCGACCAACGGGGCTGCGAGCAGGCCTCGTTTGCTTCGGTCGGCGGTGGCGGCAGCTGGCTGAGCTGAAGACGGTTTTGCTTCTTCGGCGGCGGCAGCGAAGCACATGGCGATGGCGAGCACAACGAAAGATACCTGAAAAACAAAAAACAAGTCATTTTAAAACATTATCATACTTCACATAGGAATTAAAATCCAAAAAAATGCACACGAAAAACCTAAAGAAAATATAAGTAAATTTCTTAGTTAAAAATAATATTAAACTAACACAACTGGTTTGACAATTTTCAAGTCACAAAAAAATTGGGGAAAAACTATGTCCATTCTGATTTAGAATCACTTGTTAAATGAATATTATGATATATATATATATGTATATATATGACATCATTAGTATGCCTAGTACTACTCGGGATTTAAAGGATAAAAACGTATTAAAAAAAATAGGTTAAGTTTTTAATTTACTAAAAATATCAGACCTATTTGTTAAGGCTACATAATATAATAACAATTAAACAATAATATGTAAGTTACTTATTGTAAGTGCGACATTTCACCTTATGAATTATGTCCGTTTTTTTAAATTATTTGATTAATTTTTAAGTGGAACAAAAATTTAAAAAAAAAACTGAAAACTTTTAACTCAACTATAAATTACCATTTTATCTTTTTTCTAGAAAATTCGACTTTAATTTAATAAAATAGTTTTTTTTTAAAAAACAATGTTTGGCCTTGCTGGCTGATTTTTCATTTCAATACTAACAATGTGTATAAACTATTTTTTAAAGATTGTACAAATATTAAAAAGTTGATACGATTAAAATATTATTTTGTAAAGAGGGTTTTTTTATTTAAATAAAAACCATTTCAACATTTTTTTTAAACATAAAACAAAGTTATAGTTTTCAAATAGAAATAAACTTATTTTAAAATTGTTTTTATTAATTTTTTTTTGGAAGGTATGTTTAGTAATTATTATTTTACATTTAAATGGAGATATATATATATATATATATACATTTTTTTCTTGTGATTTTAAAATGTTTTAAATGCCACAAGATGTTACTAATATATATATTTTATCGACTCTGAAGAAGAACGAAAAAAAAAATACTTACTTGGAATTTCATGGTGATGTTTTTGTTTGTCGATTGAACTGAGATAAACGCTGATGAGACAAGTCTGAATTCAAACAGTGAACTGATACTGACGGTTGGTCTTCCAGCCCTTTATATATCATTCGATTATCCTGGTGGCACCCGTTTGTAATTATTATATTTGGCATACAATGGACACGTTCGATTACAAAACAGGTGGCGATGCCAAAACAATAATAATGAGAGCTTCTCCCAGATTGCTTATACAGCTATATGGGTTTTTTTTTTAATAAAACATGCAAGTTGCGCCTTAACTCAAACGCGGATATGACTTACAATTAAAATAATGAAATTGAACGTTATGTAAATCAATTTGTACGATGTAGAGCTGCTAATATATTAATGGTCTACACTAAATAATATGCAAAAAATAATACCGATTATAATCCAATTTAATTTCTTTGAAATATTATTAATTGATTAAAACGCCTCACTGTCATGAGCTTGTTGTTTTTAGAACTGTTTTATAAAACATTGACGTTAGATACACCTTTTATTTCTTCAAAAGAAACCAAAAAAGTATATATAATATATTATACATTTTAAAGGTTAATTTAGAAAGTTAATTAAGAAAAGTTTATTTAAAAGCTATAGTCGAATAAAAATATAAGACTTTAGAATAGTTTTTAAACGCAAGAGAATATTCAAAAAATTTAAATATTTGATTTGTAAGTCAATAAAAACGTTGGATGCAGCTTTAAAAAAAAAGTGTACTTGTTAAAGAAAATGTTGAGACTCGATTCAGAATAAGAGATCAAATTCATATAGGTTAATACATTTTGGTTTTTGTTCCAAAGAAAAAACGCTTGCCAAGTCGGGGTTGGCAAGTAGGCTTTCTGGATTTTTAATTTTTGGAGGATTATTTAAAATATATTTTTTATAATTATTAAGCAATGAATTCAAAATGTATGAACATTTAGAAGGAAAATGTGTTTTGATGATGTACAACTTTAAACTTTAAGTTCTTTCTCCATAGAGATCAATTTTTAAAACTCTTCACTGCACTTTTACATGCTAAGGTGATTTTAATAAGACCCTAAATAACAAAATCCTTTTATCGGTTTCAGAAATGTGCGTGGCTAAAGAAAAATGTAGCTAAAATGGACAAGTTTTTTAATTGTAAAAAACTTAAATAGTTAATTTGTAATATTTATTATATTATAAGTATGTATTATGTTTATATTTATTAATATTTTTTACCTTCTCGACAAGCTCATTCTGATGAGATTAGAATTAACTTTCTATACCTTATTATAGTTGGAAATTAAGTTTTTATAAGATGTAAAACATAGGCTTTTTTCAAATTCAAATCATTGTACCGCACAGGTATGTTATCCGATCTACCTTATTATTATCTTATACGTATATTAAAGCAAAGACAAATGTCTATCTTTTGGTTTTTAGTGTGAAGCATTTTTTTTTGCTATTCACAACAAACTCTTAAAGATACAGAGTCATTTGGATGTAATTAAAATCAAATTTGTTTAATCAGGTACAAAAGCGAAGTCATTTGTTTTATGTCAAAAAATGAAACAAATGGTTTATATTATGTTTTTTAAATTTTATTATCGCGTTAAAATGTGAGGGTACATTTTAGATATTGATAATATTGTCTACAACTATATTTTCTTACGTTTATTTGGAAAGTTTGTTCGTTTATTTGGATTAAACCTTTGCCTAAAGCCTAAAGTTATGCAATATTTGTTTTACATTTTAATTTGCCTTTCAATAATTTAAATAAAATCTCGAGGTTAATCGACCGCCATCCAACCAGTCCTGTGTTTTTTTATTTATTGAAACCCGAATGCAAAAGTAAAAAATAACTTTATTAGGTTTTTACGTAGGTAAGCTCATATAATTAATGCTTAAACATACAACTAGAGTATGTCAACATTTAATTAAATAACAACTCCCAAACTTTACTTATAACTTTCTCAGGTACACATTGTTATAGGGTAGTAAAGTTGTACAGTAAGTAAAGGCAATCGATCACTTACATAAATTAACTTAAACACTATTAATACACGATTTGTGGGGAAATCCACTATTTCATCTGGTTTGGATAAAAATCAATTAAATACTGATAGTGTCTTATTTCAGCATAGGACTGATACACTTTTATTCAAACTTATGGTCAGACCTCACAGTTTCAAAGTTCTTAACGGCTACTTATGTTCTCATTTTGTTAATTTTGCCAATGTTCAATTCTGTCATAGCCATACATCATTACCGGCCTTAGTCCTTAAGTTGTTTGTAAAAATCTAAAGCCAATGCTATATCAATATTAACTCATTTAGCATGTCTATGTTATAATGTTCCAAACGACCCTTGCAATAACCATTTAACACGACAAGAATAATATACATTAGATTAAAATATCAATAGTTAATACGTGGTTTCTCAATAAGCACCAACAACATTATAATATTTTATTTTATCCACTGTATAATACTTAATATGTAATAGTTCAATAACAATACAATAACTCACTCGAGTTCATCAAGGGAAATCGTCCTTCTTTTATAGGCACGTATGATCCTTCAAGGATGATACTGTAGTCTAGTAAATATGATTTACAAATACAATTAGTTACCATAATATATACTATATATATATATATATATATATATATATATATATATATATTTATTTGTAGAATGGATACTGACATCTTCCTACTAGGTCTTATTTCCATTGAAATATAACTCAAAAACAGAGTTTTAAGGCAAAACAAAACTATTTTTTACATTTCTCAATATTCTACATTAATACAATATTAATATTCACATATTTTATACGTACAACTTTTGTTCGTCATATATTTTTTCTTATCAATAATAAACTCGGTTTGTACATAACGTGCCGTTATCTATCATAGCTATAAACGTCATTCGTAAATTATTTTACACAATTATTATTATTATTATTAATATGATATACTTGGACAGGTGCATCATAGAAGTAGATGTGGTACCACCTATTTGGTAGGTAAACCGGACACCAGGACAATAATTGTGTTGGACAGTTCCAAATTAAAACGATTGCAAGTTGGCTGTGATAACTACGTGTAATATTACTATTACTATTATAATATGGGCGACCTTTCTCGGTTATTGGATATATTTTGTCCTACTAACGAAACGAATTCAATTGCCTAGCCAAACCGAACCGAACAATGGCTCTGTCCGCGGTGTGTGTGTGGGAGGAATAGCACGTAGACGGCACGAAGGGCAAAACCGGCCCGCACGGTCCCCACATAATAATGAAATCGGGCATCTGAAATCCGATTGAGTCACCAAAGCGTTATCTAAGATTAGAAAATAAATCGTAATTTATACATTATTCATTACAAAATGCACGTTGAATCGCAAAGATTACCGAGATCATATTACTATAGCTGTTGTGTTGTACACCGCTATGATAGTAGTACATACTTCAACAGTAGGTACATATTATATGAGTTGGTGGCGAACGGGGAATTAATCAAAAGTCCATTATAAACAAGCCAACAGCGCACGGTAGCCACGGTAGGTTAACGCCTATTGAAATAGTTTGTTATTCAAGGATACAGGATATCTTATGTTGCTTGAATTATGTGTTTACCGCAGTTGTTTTAAGGGTAAACCTTATAATTTACACACAAATCCGCTCAGACTTTGAAAAACCGGCTATTTCCCAGCTTTGATTAAAAAAAAAACAAGTGACAGATTGATCATGTTAGAATACTATATTAAAATGTATAAGTGTATTTTGTATTTATAAATTTTCTTAGCAAAAATAACTGGTGTAATTTTAAATAAATTAATAGTTATACCAAATGAAAAGTGAAAGTGTCAAACGTTCCTAGTGCCAAAGTATAAAAATTGAACTTTATAATTTGATTTGTATTTTATTCATTATCGGAAACACTTTAACATATTTTTGAGTTTTAAATATGATTGTTTTTTTTTTATAAATAACTATCCTTTACTTGAAAAATTTACAAAATTGTTTCCGGTAATGAATAAAATACAAATCAAATTATAAAGTACAATTTTTATACTTTGACACTTGGAACGTTTGACACTTTCACTCTTCAAATATCCACAAATGGGATCTAAAAATGTTAATGTCACACTTAGGTCTTAGGCATACATAGGTTAGACCTTAAGCATGTGGAATTGATTAAACCGCTCATAAAAGCAATATTTTGTTTGGAATCGCGTTTTTTTAGTTTTATCTTTGATATTACAAAACATTTTTGGAAAAACTCTAGGTAAACGTCCTAATTCAAAAACTACCTACTACTTGCCTAACTAACTTACTAGTTTATTTTGTGTAAAGAAACATACCTACATTTATTCGGAGACCAGTTCTGAATTGAGCGAGGGAAATGAAATAAAAAGTTCTATTCGAATAAGACATTCAAAAACTGTATTCAAATAATTTTTGTTTTAATTATACAAAAGTATCAAATCAAAATATAGCTGTAAGTATTTTTTTTTTTTTTATCTTCTTAAATTTTAGAGTTGTGAGGCGTCTAAAATATATAATATTTAGTCACGCACTTTGGCCCGCAATTAATTGCGCTACAGTTGAAAACATGACTAATTTATCGCTGCCCAAACCTTATAAATACCGCAGTAAAGTACCTAAGTATGACCTCTTAAACCCCAGTGAAGGAACTTGACCTAAAAAACAAAAACGTACGTTTTGGGTTTCGCGTTTCACTACCCAAACACTTGATGAAACTTTTATTATGTACCGACCCTTTTTCTTATTTTACCTGAAAACTAAACAAATCACGCAAATAGAACAGGTAATTTTTTTTTCTTGATTTGGCATTTTTAATCTATAACGGACAATAATTGTTGTACACTTTATTTAATTTAATAAAGAATTAAATTGTAATACTGTTTATTATTTTAATTTTTTTTACCTTCCAATTACCAGTTACAATTTTACCAAAAATACACCTCTATGTATATAATTCGTATTTAGGCCACACCATTCGTTACTATACTTTTTAATATGTATACTTAATACTTATGTATATTTTTTAGTTAATTTGTGTATTTCAAATGTCACTTTACTGTTTGAAACACAATTATTATAAAAAGCCGTTTGGCGTATATTACTAAAATAAAATATTTTGTATATTTTATATTAAAATATTGTATTTTTCACTGTGACAAAAATTACACAAATTATAAGCCGTACATAGCCGTATAAGTCGTACGACTCAAAACAATAAAATATTATATTTATTTTTAGCTTCTACGCGTAGGTAAGAAGGTATTGTTTTCACAACGATGTGAATTTATGAATTTTTTTTTCTGTCTGGACACACGGTATCTTCTTAACCGGTTTCTTTGTGTAGCAAATCTATAGATCACAAATCGTACCCCGAAAGGTACTTAATTTGGAAAAGAGTTCACCGCTTCCCATTCAAAACCGTGAAAAACAACGAAAAAATTTATATATTTTTCAACTTAAATATAAGGCGTAAATTTGTGTATAATTCTTAAGCATAGTACTACCCATAAACGTTGACAAACCAAACAAATATCAACAACCATTTCCCCTAGGAAGGTGATGTGTTAGGGATTAAGGTATGAAAAATATATCAAAGGTAAATCTAGAATAGGGCTATAACCAAAAAAAAAAGGGCGAAAAATTACACTTTGATCGTTGTGAATTTCTAGGTTGCCGTGTGTGAGTGAACCATCAGTCAATCAAGATATTTGAAAATATTTTCATTATATTGTTAAATATGGCATTATATGGGCAAGAACGGCAATAAATTATTATAATATTTATTTTCAAGCACATTATTGTCATTAGGTACAATGCTCTTATCGGTATACTTTGTACTTTCCTACCGTTACGGATTCTCATCAAGTGATTTTATCACTTTCAGTCGTAATATTTTGTGTAGCCCTATGACCTCCCACGCCCCAATATGCTCCGTCCACATTATTTAATTATTATTATTATTATTATTACATTTTTGTTTTAGACAATAGTCGTGGAAGAAACGGACAAAGAAAGAGACGACGTACTGCGACAAAAGCGAACTGGCAAAAAACAGTATGTGTTCGACGCTGTTTTCGGCGAAGATTCATCGCAGGTAAAATATAACACCTACCAGCTATATTGTAATATTCATATATTGTCTATATTGTAAATAGTAGATTTGATCCGTATATAGAGAGGATATTATTGTTTAATAAACCACAACCTCACAACTCTGACAGCATTTGTTTGTCAAATGTCGCAATTTGAAATCTTTTTGAATAGACCAAAAACTATAAAGTAAAATTGTAAAAATGGTATAGAAATTTACAGGACTTTGAAAATTTCATGTTACACTTGATTTTTTGATGACATACAATAATTTTGAAAAATGTAAGACATTTTTTATTTTTATCAATCTATAATGAGTTTTTTTTCAGTCAGAAGCTAGAATTAGGGAGGGTAACTTTTGAAACTTTTGTGTGTGTTACGATTTAAGTTCCCTTCTGAATATTTAGCTTCTGACTGAAAACATTCTGTAAATCCCAATTTTATCCAACTGTTAATAAGTGGCTTAATACAAAAAAAAAAACATACTATTGACTTTCCCAGTATTGTCGTTTTATTGCGTTGGCTAAATAAATAAGTAATTGCGAAAATGTTTTCAGAAATTCATCGTCGCGAGCCAACCTAGTCACTCGCTGTGAACTTGCCAATTAAATATCCATTAAAACAATTTACACGTTTCTATTTAGACCTTACGACTGCGGTCCGACCTAAGTCACGTGTATTGTCTTGGGTGGTCTTTCACGGATATCTGTGCTTTTTTTTGATCAATGCATTTTCGTTTTGTTTCTTCTAAATTCCTATCGAAAATATCATTAAAATTCCTAATTTGAAATGTTTAAAAACACACTAACAGTAACGAAGAAAGTATTATTGTAGGACGTACTATACAAATCTAAATAGACAGTTAGGTATACTATGCTGCCTCTTTAAGTGCCAGGAATCCAAATAATATCCAAAAGGCTTCATAATAATGATTTCCTCGAGGGCCTAAAAAGGCAAAAAAGTGTAATTTTCCCCTTTTTTGGGGTCTTTCTTAAAAATATAAAAAATAGTTTGAAAAGTGTCCTATTTTAAATATAGCTCCGGTCTAATTTCCAGGCCTTAAATCTTAAAACTACAAGTGAAGCTAAAAGAAAAGTTCTTACCCACCTTGAGGGAAAGGATTAAATTAATAATGTCTCATGCTATAGGTATCGGTTTTAGGCACTACGATTTACTTTACTACAATTTTAATTTTCCAGTATTCCCATTTATTTTATACGTTAAAAAATAATAACAGAAAAGAATATTAAGTCAACTATATTCTTAGGTACAACGATATGAATGTGTTTATGCTTTCGTGGATTTAAGTTGGATCATTTTCGATGAATGTATCCATTTCTTGTCAATGTGCTGACGTTTCGGGCCCATTGCAGAGTTCATCTCTCTGAAGATGGACTCTGTGTGGATATATCCGAAAACTACCATGTCAACAACGTATAGTACTATATATGTACTTGCTATAGTTTAGTTAACTATTATTGTTTAGGACGACGTGTACGAAAGAACCACTAGAAATTTAGTCAAAGATATTTTGGTCGGGTACAACGCCACTGTGTTTGCGTACGGAGCGACGGGCAGTGGTAAGACCCACACGATGGTCGGACACGGTGGAGAGACGGGTATCATGGTCAGAGCAGTCAGTGATTTATTTGACACGGTGGCCAAAAACGCTTGTCGATATACAGTGAGTAAACGCATAACACATCCTTTGAGCATTATCCAGACATTAGCAGACCACCGCAGTTTGCATCAATCTTGAAGAAAAAAGTATTGCATTCAATTCTCACACAATGCCAAAGTATTGCATTGGTCCCTCGCCTCGATTAAGCACAAGCCCTTACTCAATTTGAGAGGAAGGCGCTAGACGGTTAAAATTTAATACAAGATATTAAACATGCGTATTTGTCCTCAGCCTTCCCCTAGCACGAGTTGGCAAATCTTTCACCCACAGATTAGCTGTCCACTTATCAATCCCAAATGCTTCCAGTCATCTCTTCTCTAGCCATTTTCTGCCTTAATTTCTTATTCACTGGCCGTCAACCTAAATCACCCGTCCTTGTAGCGTTGCCTGATCATCTGATTTCTTTCCCAGTCACTCTCTCCCTTCCCTTCAAGTGCGTTACTCGACTATGAAGTCTATTATAAAGCCATAAACGCCACAATACCTAATCCTCGGTATCCTTTGTAATATCGTCCGTTACGCTTAGTTCTACCGAATTTAAAACCATTTGTCTCTCTATGCATAAGCTATTTGTCGCATAAAAGTATTTTTTAGAAAATCCCTCTGGGTTACAGCTCAATATAAGTCAATATGACTTAAATCTTGATTTTTTTAGGGAAAAGACGTCGCTTTATTGTGATAATGTATGTACAAATTGTTAAATGGTCAAATTTCTTGTCCTGACCTAATTATGAATTAACATTTTAAGAACTTATACTATTATTGTAACATATCTAACTGAAAGTACGTTGTTTTGAAAATAGGTAAAGTTGTCATATTTAGAAATATACAACGAAAACATACGAGACCTTTTGAATCCGTCGTCGGGATTCTTGGAGCTTCGCGAGGACTCGTCTAGAAGCCGCAACATTCAAGTCGCGGGCCTTTCCGAAGTCGTCGTGGAAACCGTCGATGAAGTGATGGGACTGTTGAACCAAGGCAACCGACAGAGGACTGTAGAACCGACGGGAGCCAATAAAACGTCTTCCAGGAGTCACGCTCTTCTCAGCGTGACGGTGAGCAAGTCGTCCAGAGCGTCGACTGCCGTGCGACAAGGCAGATTGTTCATGATAGACTTGGCTGGTTCGGAAAGAGCCAGTCAAACAAAGGTAGGTGACTAACTCGGAGGCCTCTACATTTTTCCTGACACTTCTGACAATAAGCAAACGATACACGAGAACAATGGTAGAGTTGACACGGCGATGCAGAGACTACCGATGGTGTATTTGTGGTCACAGAACCAACCTCGCAATCTATTTAAACTAACCCCTTTATAAATTTATCTCTACCTAACTAAAACATGCAGGGCCTGATTTAAGGGCCCGGACAAGTGCACTGCCTCGAATGTATTGCACATCCTTGTCGCAATTAATTTCATTCCAATGCCTCCCTTGATTAGTCACCAAAGCATAGACACACTGGCCAGTGGAGTTGGGAAACGGCATTTCCTCTGGCCATCACAAAACATGATAAGAATATGAACTGTTGACTTGAATGCAGTGTTTCATGCCCAGTAAATCCCTTATAAGTTCATCCGTTACCAAAGCCAAGTAAGTATGAGCTTAACTCAGACCTCGTTGATGAATTTTCGTTGGCCCTGGGAATAGAACTTGTTCTCACTCCTCCTTAGACATCTTCTATTATTACATTAACCTATTGGCAGAAACTCGAAAAATGTTTGAACCTAAATGAACTCCAACGTGACAAATTGTGCTTATTGTAAAAGTCAGGTTGTACGTTTTCAATTTGTCATGATGAATATTTGACTTTAGAACCGTGGCAAGCGACTCAAAGAAGGAGCGCACATCAACAGATCCCTGTTGGCTCTGGGCAACTGTATAAATGCGTTGAGCGGAGGCACGAACCCGCGATTCGTCAACTACAGAGACAGTAAGCTCACCCGGTTGCTGCGGGAATCGTTAAGCGGCAACTGTCGCACAGTCATGATTGCTCATGTTAATCCGGCCGCTTCGCACAAGGACGAAACGCGAAACACGTTGATTTATGCCGCAAGGTAATCTCGTATACAAGCTCCGGGTTCGATGGGGAAAAAAACCTAGTTACTTTCTTCGCGTGCTATTTCTTGTATCCAGTCAATAACAAATCCGTGTTAAAAGTGTTTCTTCAACGCTGGACGTTACAGGGCCAATGGCATTTCGCACAAAGTGGAACGCAACGTTTTGAACGTGTCTTTCCAAGTCAACCAGTACAGGTCGGTCATAGCGGACCTGCGCAACGAGATATCGAGACTGAGGACCAAGTTGGACGAAGGCCGGACCAAATCGTCGAACGGTCATCCAAGTGATACGCCCGTCAATAAAATCCGAGATCAAATAGTCACTACGTTCCGCGAGCAAATGAAACTCAGGTCGGTATGCGTGTATGCTTGTTAGGTAACGGCAACATAATGTTGCACCAACGATCAACAGACCGACCGTGTAATGTTACAGACGAAAATTAATGGATATCGACGGGCATTTGTTGTCGCTGGGTGTGGAGGCCGAAAGACAGCACCAGATCATCAGCCAGTGGGAATCTAGGAACAACAAACTCTACTGCCGGAGGACGAGCAGTCAACGCAGGCCCGACACGAGAACTTCGAGCAATACATGTGAGTAGAATGCAGTTTAAGTTAATTTACACACAAACATCCATCTCCTTCTGTCTAACCACTACATCTAGCTATCGGCCATCCAAGTGCTGAATCTGATATGATCCATTGCCAATCACCTATAATCATTATTTCGGGGCATTCCTTAACCTCAGATTTATTTCTATTAATTAGCCTTACTGTTTTGTTGTTTTCCTATTCAATCAATTTCATTTTGTTTCCTCTGCCGTTGAAGTCGAGCCAAGCTTTCGTACTCATTCCTCATTCTATACACTCCCTTGTCACACCGCACACCAATATGATATTCTATCCTTCCAGGCCCCTGATATAATAATATAACTAAATAATTTGACACATAAGGTTCCTCGGATAACGATCAGCTGAACATGCATCAAGCGTGGACGGATCTCAGTTACATTGAACACGAACAAGAAAGGTACGTTGCCTTGAGGTCAAAGACGGTGAGCGAGCTCGACGAGGTCCGACAACACGCGGTGGCTTTGGAAAACGTAAGTCTGCTCAAAATAGCCACATGCAAGTTAGATGACTAGCGACCTTATATAAGTTATATAGTGATGGTTGATACTTTGCTAAAATAATACACGTGACCCTAAGGAATTGTCATATTTTTTAAAACTCAGGGAAGCTTTGTGTGAGTCATGAGAATTCCAAAACTGCCATTTCAAAGAACATTCCTAGTATGTTCCTCAAAATCCAACGATTCCTAGTGCTACTACAACGACCCTGATGACGTGTCCCCTCTAAATCTCAGACCAAACTGATTAATTTCATTCGATAACTATTCTCTTAAGCCTTTAAATTGTTCATTTAATCTGTGTGTGTGCCAGTGTCTTTAAATTTAGATTAAAGGGTCGATTCCATGGCACGGTTGGCCAATTTTTGTTTTGTAAATAAACAGACACCTGCGCTGACCTTAACGGGTCATAATCGCCTGCGGTTCTAATTGTTAACCGGTAAACACTTTACAGAACCTTCCCAAGCGACTGGATTCGGAGACGGAGCGGGAGCTATTGTCGCTGATCTGTCGCGTACACGAGTTGGAAGCCGACAAAATGGCTTTGCAAGGAGAACGACTGGTCGAATCGTACGAGCTGCGCCGGAGGGGTGACCTGCTGCACAAGATGCACCGTCAACAGCGCATTACCGACGACATCATAACCAAACAGCGTCAAATCATCGAAGGTTGTACGAAATCTTGTTAATTAATTTTTTTTAAGTCGGATAAGATGCTAAGATGGACGAGTAGTGTGTGACGAGGGAGGATAGAATGAGAAATGAATACACAAGAGGAAGTCTAGGAATTGGGGAAAACGAGAGAATAGTGTTATGTTATGAGAAGAGACGAGGCAGAGGCAGTGAGAGTTGTTATGAAGATGAATGTAAAGGGAAAGAGAGGAACATATGAGCATAACTGGTGTGATTGAACGTGATGGAGCTCTATGGAGGCGTAGGGCTAGGGTGGCCAACACCATAATATAGTTGGGAGTGTAAGGCGAAGATGAAGAAGTAGATAGTTTATTATGTTTTCATGTGCTTATTTTTCGACAGGCGAAAACATGCCACTGCCGTCCGACTTGAAAGAACTGTACAGATCTTACCAACAGGAAATCCACGCCAACTCGTACAACGCCGACGTCAACACCATACCGCTGTCTTCGCTGCAGTCTATCGACAAAAGGTTGGTGGTCATTTTTTACGGCCTTTGCGCCTACCACCACTGACACGGCCCGACCGTTGTTTCAGTTTAGAAAAAACCACCTTGGACGACAAAAGGGTCACGGCGAGAGCAAACCCGTTCGCGACGGTCGACACGTTAACGCCGGAATCGAGACTAGGAACGACGTCGAGGTGAGTAAAACGTTACCCTAGGAACCACCTGATTAGAGTGTTCTTCTTCTCTATCTTCGCCTTACAATACCAACTACACGGTCCTACACCTCCACAGAGCTCGAATATTTTACATCTCAATCGGCCCAGCTGTTCTCATATCACTTACTATTCCGTCTATCCATCTTTTCTCCAGTGTCTTCCTTTTCCTCTACATTCATCTTCATAACACCTCTCACTGCCTCTGCCATCTCGACTTATTCTCTCTCATTTTCCCCACGATAGGTGCAACTCCTAGACTCCTCCTCGTGTAGTCCACTCTACTCATCCGTCTTAGCATTCTTATCTCCGCTACTCATCTCATTCTCTGTTCCAGTTTTCTTGTCTACTGTCTACCGACCCATATAACATTGCTGGTCTCACTAGAGTCCTCCTCATACCCACTATTTTTTTTTTTTTTTTTTTTCTAATTAGTGTCCCATTACTCCTGTTACAGCAACGAAAGCCTGGCCGGTCTGGATTGGGAAAAGGATCCGGGAAGTCTGCCACCGATTAACCCGCCAGCATCATCGCATTACAGGAACGAAGCACCTTCTCCCGTGCCGGCGTCTGTGTTGTTCCCGCCTATTTCCACTAGGTTTCGGTAGAGCCTGTCAAATCAAAACTAAATTGTAAGCAGAGCCGGGGGGGGTCGGGAATTCGACATTTTGAAAATATCCCAAAATTCGAAAAAAAAAAAACGTTCAATCCAAAAGTTCTGTTTAAAAGCGTTTTCGGTTTGGGATTGTACCCGAAGTTGAAGTGAAAATACGGATACCTACTTCGACTCTGATTATATAAGTTTAATCAAATCAAAATATTTTTGTTAACCGTGCCAATTTGCATATAATATATAATAATAATAATATGTTTGTGCGTAACGTCGTGTTGGATCAAATTTAAACAAGTACCTCGCGTTGTGTTTATTACACGTCGTGTCCATTAATTATTTTAATTACAAGTTTTCAATGATATGTTTTAAACAATAGATAATTTATTGGAAAACGTGTCTTATTGATGTTTAAGCATAGTAAGATTACACGCTTCGTAGTAGCCACGCAGTGATAGACTTGAGAAAAAGTAAAACAACAATGTTGTTGACGAAAGCTATTTAAAAGTCTAATAAAATATCAAATCTAAGACAATCAGAAATGGCTAAAATATTGAATACATCTGTATAATAAATATAAGCATAAAATATCATAATACATCATTGATGGACCCAAAATTAAAGGCGTTAACACCAAAACTCGGTCAACGTTTAAACGTTATTTGCAGATGTCTAGTGACAAAATGGAAAACATAACAAATAAAAGAATAGACTTTAAGAAAACAATTTTATACTGTTGACAAAGTTCTATTGAAAATGGAAAAAGTTCAACGAGATAATAAAATAACATTTTGTCCTTAAAGTTCTTCTAAACTGAGTTTCAGAATAAAATACATAGATTCTAATTAATTATTAATATGTCATAATTTATAAGAAAAACTGAAGGCGTATACTACACAGGCCAAAATAGGGTTATTACTAAATTTTATTACAAAACAAAACAGATTTTATTGCACTGGTTTCAAATAACATAAACTATTTGATATAACTTATTTGAATTTTCAAACTACATTCTATTTAAACACAATTTGTTTTTGATAATGCATCTCTAATATTTGAATAGTTCAACTAATTTTGTGTTTCAAACCGTTTTTAATGTATACAAAATTAATTTTTTAAAGAAAAATATTCAACTATTTTTATTATTTGAACTTTTATTTAATAATAATTTTTTTCACTTCAACTAGTCTTTCAATTTTTATGTGAATAAAAACAATTCGTGTTATAAAGGGAAAAAAACATAATATAAAAAATCTTAGTCTTATGACTTCTCGATAACGAAAGAAATTGTTTCGAGTACATCCTTGTTAACTTCTTCGGCCTTTTATTTTTTCACACCAAATATTATTTTACACTACAAAACACTGTCCGTTACAAATTATTTTTTACATTTCTAAATTATACTTACTAAATAAATGTTACGCATACGACAGTACGTCGGATACAAAAACCGTCGATAACATAATATTACCATAACAATTACAAACATCACAGTAAAAAACAAAACATAAATTGGCATAATTTACAAACTGTTACAATAAAAAAAAAAAATTGTTATTGGTGTTCTCGAATGACCGTAATTAAATTTGATTTGTGAATTTTGTAATCGTAAAACTATCAAACGTTTTTCTTTTAATTATTTAACAATGACCGAAAAAATTTAAAAAAACAATTTAATGGATTAGACATTTAAAAGAAAAGATTCATATAAGTTTAACAAGTTTTTATATAAAATATATATTTTTAACTAGTAAATAAAAATAATATGGTTATACAACTATGTTGTTTGATAAAACAAAATAAAAACGGTTTATAACAAAAACAAAAATTGATATTTAACGCGAATAGAGTATATAAAAAAAAATATTTGTTCCGTTACAACCGATCAAAGTTAAAACAAAAAAAAATACACATCCGTTATTACTCGTTATTGCTTCAATAATAATATATTTATTGCACAAATTTTGTTACAAAAAAAAAGAAAAGAATAAAAGATGTCACATAATAATTATATTGGCATGGCACATATAAAAAAAAATGGTTTAAATTTTATTAAAAAACAAATTTAATACATTTTTGCAAAAAAAAAAAATGTCATGGAATGGTACAAATATGTTTTTTTCGCCTTTTCATTGTGAACATTTTTAAGCTTTAAAATCTCAAACAATAATTATAGATTTAGAACCAAACAAATAAGGTTAGGTAACATAGAAATTAAAGATACGCTAGAAAAAAAAGTATAGCATACTATTACGTTCTTTTTTCAAAGACTAGAGTAACACGTCATGCGTTAAACAATTCTAATAATATATAATTTGATTTTTGTCATTTATAGTTTTGGCATCGAGTTTTGAAAGAGAAAACATTGATTTAAATACGTACAAACAAATGCCAACTCGTTGGCTTGTTCGATAAAGAGTACGCTTTTTCTCTTTTGTACGACACATAGTAATAATAACGATAATGATTACGAGTTAATAAATTTGATTATAATACCCATACAACTAAAATAATTGAACACGGCTGTTAAATAACATTTAGTAATATTGCTCATAATAAATGCAATCTAGTTTTGTTTTTCAATAGAGGAAGCTCATAAACGATATTGGAAAAATTTAAATATATAATATATACATAAAAGTCGGTAGTAGGTTGTCCACAGTTAATTTAAATTATAAAACCACCCATAAACCACGATACCGTTTGATTGAACGCTAAATTTATAACTAATAATAATAATATTTTGAAAATTAAAGAATTCGAAGACAACCGATTTTCGTACGTCAAAACATACAAAATTGGGAACGAACCAATAGAAACTATTCATGATCTCATTAATCTTTAAAGCGTTGAGTGGAACAAATTTCCCTGTGACTAGTTTGGTTGCCAAAATGTCATGAACTTAGGTCTTGTTGTAGCCAAAGTTCATTCGCAGTTGTTCGAGGAATACAAATGTCAATATCGTCTGCGGAGCCAACCGGACGAAAGCCGGAACGTAGCCCTGTTGAAAACAAATATTATCAATTACGTACTTTTATCAATATAACGTGGATCGATAAAATAATTGAGTAATCGTAATTTGTCTTACTTTGAAGAATCCCATTGGACCAAGCCTAGCTGTATACCTTACCAAGTCGAGCGTACCCTAAAAACAAAATGAACGTTATCACAAACGTGTAATGACATATAAGAAGGGACATTTTGAACTTTGTGTTTAACAGAACATTTCTATGTAATTAAAAATAAAAGTGTAGTGCTCACAACAATACTTTTTACAGTATTCCAACCAAAACAAATATTAAAATTCCAATTAGTTTTGATTCTGCAAACTTTCATGCGATAAATTCAGTTAACTTAAGTTTAAATTATTAATATTTGTTTTAGCGTTATAACCAATTTACAATGTTTGTCTCGATTACGTACCGAGTATTCTCCGGGCTTGGCGTTCATCGCACGTGTTTTTAACACGTCCAGAGGTTGAGTGAGTGTTGTGGCGACGGCGCCCTGTTGCGATAAACCAAATAATAAAAAAAATGTAAAAATTGAATGGTAAAAGTGTGCAATTTTATACAACACTTACGGCAGTAAGACTCGACAAGAAATGTGTGGTAGAATTGTCACCGAAATAGCCTGAAGCCAACAACATTTGTTTTACTTGATCGTAGAACGATAGTTGACCTACGGTCATGAGAACAGCACGCATGGTGGCGGTCGAAGCGCCCGAAAACAGTCGAGGGAATCCTTCTTCCTTCCATACACGTATGAATCCATCCAGAGCGTGTTTATAGCTAAAAAAAAAAAAATGTTTTCCTTTAATTTTATACCAAGCAATTAATACACGAGTCCAACCACCAAGCAAGATAAGGGAGAGATAAAATTTGACATAACTATTATGTCAATAATTTAAAAACAAAATGTCTATTACTTTCTACGACTCTCTGCCGGCAACTTAACGTCATTCTGCATTCTCACGTTAACCATATCAGCAGGTGTACCGACAAAACCGCCTGCAGCACCCGCTGCGGATGCCAATAGTACAGTTTTGTAGAACGGAACATTTTCGCCCGGTTTTGTCATGGATTGCTTTCCAACCTAAAAAAAAAAAAAGACTTAAAATGAGGAAAAAAGGTTTTTTAAAAATAATTGACTTCATTTATTTAACAAACCTCATAGATTCCAAATCGTACAGTTGAATACGACAATTGGCGACACAACGAGGCCGATATGCCCGTGTACAGCGACAACACTCCTTGGTCTTTGACGATTTTTAAGGCCAAACGACTGACGGACAGTTTTCCTTCTTGTTGCGTTTGCAGATGAACCTGCGTAAGAGGTGTACGATAAATGATAACAACGTTTCGACGCAACAAGGACGTAATTTACCTTTAAAAGGTCTAGCGGATGAGTACAGCATGCCGCACCGGCCGATCCTAGGCCGCCAAAATACCACCTTGCCAACCTTTTGCTCTTGTCGTCAGTCGCCATTTCCCAAAACCGTCTGTCCTTTGTATCGGCCGTTCGTGCCCTGTGAAAACAAGATACGTTGCAGGTTTTTATTCTATTCGGTTAAGAGGTTTTGATGTTATATATTTTTTTAAATTTTATAATGAATTGTTTTTACTTGAAAAGTATAATGAAAACTACTACAGCTAAGTAATAAAATAAAAACTGGTGGTAGGTAATACTCACTGCCTATAGTCGTATCCCGATGTCCTTACATGAACGACTACTGACTCTTCAACATTCCCCTTCCAACATAACGATTAATATACATACATAATACAAGTATGTATAAATTGGCTGGGTTATAAAAAATTTCATTAGAACAACATTATGCGGTTTTTTGAACAGCTAATATTCAAAGCCTGAAGGGCGAATACTGTGATAACACAAGGTCAAAGCAATTAATAATATAACACTGTTATTGATAAGTGATAACAGACTCGGCGGCAGACGGTGTCGACTTGCAATTAAACTATTAATATTTAAGTGTACAAGGAAACTATTATGTGAATATTATACTGAAATATAGAATAATATACTGTTTTAACTTTATAATAATTAACAAGTAAACAACAATCTATATATATATTAAGTACCCATAGAAACTCCGTGTTAGACAATATTATCACTATCATAATTGCCCATTAATTATTATATTATTATTAATAAACCACTAAATCGACGACGGTCAATATACTTAATTTAACGATAAAAATTCGCCGAATTTAATAACAGTGAGTTAATAACAGCATGTCTAACTTGAAATAATATTATGCATATAGTATGTTGTTTATTATTTGTTTTAAACACTAATATTGACTAAACTTAATATTTATAAATTCCATTATCAATATTAATTGGTAAACTATAAATTAATACCAAACAACCTTATAACATTTATGGTTATATTTGGTTAATTTAAAAAAAAAAAATAGTTATAGGTACCTACAAAATATCTTTACAGTTAAAAAAAAAAAATGTAAAACTATATCTGTTTGGCATCTTTGAATTTAAAAATACCAGTAAGGATAATGTTAATGAATTATTCAAAGCGTTGATGTTTACTTTAACAAAACATGATAAATAATAAATTTTTTTTTCTATTTATTACTATAATTATTATATTTTATTAGTAGGTGTGTTGATTTGTATTCACGAACTGACTAAGAATATACCTACTTAATTAATGAGTCGTTTGGATTTATTTGAGAAACATTGAAAATCACAAAAACCTTTTCGCTTTTGCATTGAAAGGTTGGAAATAACACTGCAATGGCAGTTATGGATTTTTGGCAATATTTTTTTTATTTAAGGGGGCTTCATACAGACCATTTTTTCAGCCAAAACACATCATTTTCATTCCATCGCACAGGCCTAACCAGTGATCCGATAAGCAATCTAAAAACAGATTTGAATTCGTCATGAAGTTTACATAGGATCGGTCGAGGTACTTTTTTCAATTTTAAATTTTAACCCTTTTTTAATTTAATTTTAAAATGTTGAAATTTTGTAAAATGTTCAAACGTGTTTTATACATAGTAGGAATAAGATATCAGAAAAGTACGTCGACCGATCTCAAGTAAATTTCATGACGAATTCCAATCTGTTTTCATATTACTTATCGGATCACTGGTTGAGCCCGTGCGATGGAACAAAAAATGTATGTTATATTAACTAAAATGGCTTTTACTCATAGACAAAATGATTTAAATTAAAAATAATACCTTGAAGCTTTTACAAATTAACCGGTAAATTTATTTAAACCAATTTTCTCTTAAATATTGCCTATACAAAACTCCTTAAAAATGGCCTGTACGGAGCCCCCTTAAGAATCATACTTAGGTATGATGACGTGAATGCATTATGATTGTGATCATCATATTATGCATTTGAAACGGGTACAAAAATGTTTAGGCGTTTGTTTTGTCACCGTAGAACATCACCCGCTGCGCGGCGTTCGCAAGGCGCCGCGCGTCGTTTTGCGATGTCCACGCGCGCCGCTGCCGGCCAATCCGGTTGACGGTGGACGCCGCGAAATATCCGATAAATATTCAGCGGCGGCCGCTCGAGCGGTCACATCAACGGCAAGCCGGCGAACGTCCGGCTTCGTTTTCGGGACGACGCACACGAGCCACACGCGACCGCAGCACGTTTGGACGCAGCCGTCATGTCGAGCAGCGGCAAGAGCAAGAAAAACAACAATAACATTATGGAAAAGTCGGCGAACAAGACGCGTTCTTCGCGCGCGGGCTTGCAGTTTCCGGTGGGCCGCATACTGCGGATGCTGAAAAAAGGCAATTACGCGGTCCGGACGGGCCCCGGCGCGTCCGTGTACATGGCGGCCGTGTTGGAGTACCTGGTGGCCGAGATACTCGAGTTGGCCGGCAACGCGGCCCGGGACAACAAGAAGTCCCGGATCACACCCAGGCACGTGCAGTTGGCCGTCCGCAACGACGAGGAGCTCAGCACGCTTTTGGCCGGCGTCACCATCGCCGAGGGCGGCGTGCTGCCCAAAATCGAGAGCGAACTGTTGCCAAAAAAAACCGCAAAACAAAGCAGCTGAGTGGTTTTTGTTTTATTATTATTATTTTTGCCCGAGTTGGTTTTTTTGAAATTTTATCAAGTTAAATAATTTTATTATATTTTAAGTATGTTTTTTTTTTTAATCTAAATCACTAACCGTTTAAGAGTTTTTTTTTTTTTTGAACATTTTTATATAGTAAAAAAACGGTTGTCTTACCTACCTATCGATTGCGATACCTACTAAAACGGCCCTTCTCAGGGCCAACAAAATATTATATACAATATTATCCGCAATCGATAATTATATTATGCGAAAGTCTTACCTACAAAAATAAACACATACTATTTAAACTGTCACATTAGTTTAGTCAACACATTTCTCGTCAATGCGAGATAGCTGCTGTTAATGATATTGCGTTTTGTTTAAAAATACAATAATAATAATAATATTATGATGCGATAGGCGTGTATTTTATGTATTATTTTCTAATAATTTACACCACAAAACGGGTCGGCGTTAAGTGTTTTAGAATGTCAAAAACATATTATTATTATTATTAAGTTTTCCAGTTAATATAAGGGGAAAATGATTAAGGAATTATTAGGTTTATTATTTTTTTAAATATTTTAAAACTACATAAAAACGAATATTAACGGCAAAACCGTAAACACATAGAAAATTATACAGGTATAAATTATATCGAAATGACAATATTTTTAGAGTAATACTTTGCATTAGTACTCTGTGATCAATTTAACAATAGAAAAAGTCCAACGTAAAGTGATTTCTGTAGATAAGACGACCCGTTTGTGAATTTATACCAATCGGTGGGTATTACATAATATTACTATTCATATACAGGGTGAGTTTTTTTTAAAGTGGTCCGCTCAATATCATAGGGTTGTAATTCATTTTTTTTTTTGTAGTGTTTTATCCTACACAGTTTCACAAAAACTCTTTAAACGTTTTGAACCCGAATTAATTATTTAATAATACAACATCCCAACCTTTCCTACCGTCGTAAACTGTATTTTTTAATAACTTTGGTAAATAATAATATGTTCTAATAAGTTGATATAAAAGTAATTAATTTGCGAGGGGTTGTTTAAAAAAATATTAAAATCTGTGCTAATTCGAAACTGTACAATTGTGGTATAATAAAACGCTAAGGAAATAAAAAGTAAATTACTAAATGAACCCTATAAAACATAGAGTGGATCACCCTGTACATTATAGGTATCTATTTTTAGTACCCGTGTGTTTAACCAGAACGGTAGGTCCAACTTGAATGTAAACTTCTGAAAACGGCTATTTATCTGTTGTAAATTTACAATAAAGTTCTCCTTTGTACATTGTGAACATTCGGTAAATCTACTGTTAACACTTGAGAGCTGTTTTGATGGGGAAAAAATTGTAATTTACCATGTAGAAACGACAAAAAGTAGTATTCATGTAGTCTGACAAAAAAAAAAATTGCTATCAATAAAGTATCCTCATTGCTGTATTAATAAGTTACACTTTAGCTGTTCAAGCTCTAAATTAAGATTTCGTGAAAAATTGCCTATACTACTACTCCTTCTACTCCTTAGAAATGGGCTGAGTAATCTCTTAATACCAATATATAGGATAGTAGTCACTAGTATAGAAGTATTGTAAAGGTATTAGGTATAGCCGCTCAATGTAATATACATTTAATTTAAGTGTATAAACGAAATGTCAAATAGTGTTATAAATTAGAATAACCTAGAATTTTACAAGCAACAAGTTTTTATACAGGAAATAAATATATTATTTAATATAATAATTTTTTAATTTTATAGTAATCATTTTTTAAAAGCGAGTAAAATATTTTAATTTTAAACTGGGTTTTAATATATTTTAATATTCCGAATGAGCTGTTTCACTTGTTGAACCCCTTTTGAGTTTTTTTGTTCAAATTTTGGTATCAAATATACTATTAAATGTACATTACTTTTTCATAGCATGTCTACCAATAAAAACAATACTCACCACTATAATTATACATTTGTAGTTAATTATCTAGTCTTTACCGACTATTTGTTTCTACTTCTGATTCGTTTTCTTTCTTTATTTTAAAACGTCTATTGTAATGCGGGTGACCCTATTTTTTTTTAATTTAATCGAATTAAAAAAAAAAATGAAATCCAGATTTAGCCCAACAATTGTTGTAAAATCATATATTCTCAAGTACATATTATACTTGCAGCAGTTCGCTCTATAACTATTATATATTTTAAAGATTGCTAAATTCGAAAATGTATTTGATTATTGGACAAACGATAAAACCATACAAGATTAGAAGCTTGATGAAAAGAAAATTAGATTATAATATAGAGATTGACTTGATATCTAATAAAAAAAAAGTGGAAGAAATAGAAAAACAATTAATTTTATTAGGAAATTCTAAAAAAAAAAAAAAAACGAAGAGCTCAAGTTATTCTTTTAATATTTCAGCTGTATATTTATGAATTATATTTTAGTACAATATGGTCCAGGTTTTAAATTGTAACAAAGCGAAACTATTTATTGGAGCTACAGTTGACTGGATTCGTCAGCTTGTTCTTCAGGCGAAGGACTATTGGATAGTTCATCTTCTAGCTCTTTTTCGAGAACCATTGAGGAAACATCAAAGTTTTTGCAAATCTCCTTCGTAAGCAACATAAACTTTTCCAAATTTATATTATCGTCTGAAAAACAGCGGTAAATTATCAAAAATACTAAGAAAATATCATTAAACGATTAATGGAAAAAATATTTAGTGGTTACCCAGGTTATCTAGTCCAATCGAACTCGCTATCTTTTTAAGTTCCAATACATCAACGACTGCCATAAAATTTGCCATTTCGTACTCAGTAAGACCTCTGTCAATAGCACCGAATTCTTTTCTGGCCAAACAGTATATTTTTACTAAAACCTAAAAGTTTGTTTTACCAAGTTATTGTATTTTAATACACACAAAAAAATGTATCAAAACAATTTTTTAAAGACTTACAAGATCATCAACTAAAGTAGCCATATTGGATGGGCCAGCTATTAGATTTTTTCTGGGACCACTCAATATGGGAACACCTAGCATCTTTTTCATAAGCTTTTTAAATGTCTCCAAATTTATATTGTCTGAAAAACGGCAAAAAAATTATTATAAATTTCAAATCTCAATGTATACCTAATTTTTTAGAATAACAACAGGTATTGGACAGAATTATGAAAAAAAACTTCAATGTTAAAAATTCCTAAAAGTGTTGTTCAAACATCTGATGTCCTTTAGGTTATGTTATTATGATATTATGTTGCTTCTTTCTTGTGCGAAATACATATTTTTCTTTTACTTAATTTTATATAGTTTGTTTCTTTTATATTCATTTACATTTAAAAATACAAAATCATAATAAGTCACTGGACTATTAAAACATTTAGTTTAATATAATTGGTGATAATTATATTTCACGACATCAAGTGAACAGTTAAAAAAATTTTAAAAAATTATTTAATAATGAATAATATATATATATACAAATGGTTACCTATGCTATTTATTGTTTTTTTTAATAATGTTATTGAGCTTATTGGGATGGTCAATAAGTATTATCATATAGTTATAATATAAGAACCTTAAGACATTTTCTTTGAGTTTTATTTGTAAAAGGACCTTTATCAAACGACCATTTGTACATCTAAGCTAAATTTTAAATCTAGTTAAACCTTAAAACCATAAACAATAAGCAATTAATTTCCTAAAAATAGAAAAAAAAACGAATTATTAAACACAATTGTTGTGTGTGTTTAATAAAATCTCACATCTGTCCATAGTTTATAAATAAAAATTAGAGAATACCATAAAGAATGATGTAAATTTTTGTGTTTTAAAAAAATAATGTTGTTGTATTTTGTTACAGCTTAAGTATTTGTGATACTTAAGTTCTGTATGATAAACATAAATATACACTATTATCGTTTTGCAAATATATTTTATGAAATATAAATTTTATTTTTTAGGAATATTCAACAGATTAGAAGCGTTCCAAATACACCTATGTAAAGCTATTGCGCCGAGTCCTCATAAAACAACGTATAAAACAATATTTTTAACTTTGACGATAAAGATTATTATTTATATTAATAAAATATACCTAAAAATTATTATTATATGAAAAATAGAATAATATATGCTAGTGATTACCCAGGCTGTCTATTCCAATCTTATTTGCTATCTCTCTAAGTTCCAATACATCATCGAACCCCGCATAGTTTGCCATTTGGGACTCATTAAGACCACTTCCGTCAGGAACATCATTAGCCATTTTTATGTTATCGAATTCTCGTTCTAAATACTAAGAAAAAAAACTAACAGTCTTTAGAATAACGGTCAAAACCATTTTTAAAAACTTACAACGTCTTCGTCTAAAGTAGGCTTATTGGATAGGTCGTCAGCTTCTGACTCGCTATTGGGATCCAATTCGGCAATATCAGTTTTTTCAAACATCTCTTTCGTTAGCAACTCAAACGTCTCCAAACTTATATCGTCTGACAAACAGTAGTAAATAGTCAATAACATCGAAAAATATTATTAAATAATAAATAAAAAAAAATATATATATATAGTAAATATACCTAGATTTTCTATTCCATGCAAATTCGCTATCTTCTTAAGTTCCAATACATCAATGACTTCCATATATCTTGCCAATTCGTACACGGTAAGACCTCTATCAGTAGCATCGAAATCTCTTTTGGCGAAACTGTATATTGTTTTTAAGACCTAAAAGTTAAAAAAAAAAAGGACTGAGAATGATTAACGATCTAGCAAACAAAAAAAAACTAACAGTTTTAGTGTAACAGTGAAAACAAATTAGCAAGACTTACATTATCATCTTCTAGGCTAGATTCCGTATCTCCTTCGGAACCCAATATGGGAACATTTAGTCTTTTGGTAATCTCTTTCACAAGCGACATGAATATCTCCAAATCTATATTGTCTAAAAAACAGCAATAAAATGATATTCAATTTCAACATTTAGTATACTTATACCTAATTATTTAGAATAACGTCATCAAGTAAACAGTCGCCAATACATTTTAGTTAGGTATTGGACAAAATTATAAAAAAAAAAAAACTTAATTGAATGAAAATTCCTAAAAGTGTTTGATCATTCAATTTCCTTTTAAATACGATATTACAATATGTTGCACATAACTTTCTTGTGTGAATTAGATATTTGTCCGTTACTTGATTTTACATACTTGGTTTCTTCTATATTTTATTTACATTAAAAAATACAAATTTGTAAGTCACCGACTACAAAAACATTGAACTTGATATTTATATTCTATCCCCCTTTTTTTAAAATAATAAAATCGTAGAATATACAATATTTAATGAACAATATATATTTGAATTACATATATTATTATAATATATTATTTAAAAATAATGTTTACAAGCGCATTAGGATAGCCAATATTTGTTATCATATTTTTTTAAAAATTTTTGAATTTCATTAAGTTTTGAAAAAATATTTGAGTTCTTCAAAACATATCTAAGGCATCGGTCGCGGCATAATTTTAAAATTATTTTCAGTTAATTAGTTATTTCAGTTGAAAAAATTAAAAAAATTGCATTTTTTTTTTATATGGAAATAATTAATTAACTGAAAACAGTTTTAAAATTGTGCCACGACCGATGCCTTGAAAATGTTGTGAAGAATTCAAATAGTTTTAAAAACTTAAATCGATGTATTCTTAAAGACAGTACGTTTGAAGTAGAAACATGTGTTTTTGTACAAAAATAGATCCTATATGCGTTATAAAAGTTGAATAAAAGAAATAATTATCAAAATAATTATTTCTTTCCTGTGGTAATATGTATGTTTAAAAATTTTAGCTTAATGTTAAGTTTTAGTGAAAAATTGCCTATACAACGCGCCTTAATAAATGCTAGTGTAGACTGTACAGGCCCCTTGAGAATTTTGGTAGACTAGTCATTTTTTTTTGCTATAAAAATTCTAAAAAAAAATGCTAAGCAATACACTTAAGGTGTTCTGTGTTATTCGAATATCAAACGTACTCTCAAAGTATTTATTACATACTTTGAGAGTACTTAGGTGAACACGAGTTACATATTTTGCCTTTTATTTGAACGGTTTGCTTTAACAAGAAACTTTATCAACAATGATTTTCTGACTTGTGGCTCGGTATAATAGTATATAATGTAATAACATTGGCTTTTGCGTCATACTTTATTAAAAATGTGTCTATACAGTCTAAGAAACACTTGCTAAACAATGAACATTAAGTATATTCATTTACATTTGTTTTTCAAAATATTTAAATTTTTCAAATTTAATTAGCTCTCAAGAAACTACACGAATAAAAATGATAAAAATCATATACATTTAATATATTATACAACATGAGGGTATATCATAAACCGGGTGATTTAATAATAGGTAAAAAAACGATTATTTTGACTGTGACGTTAAGGATTGTTATTAAAACTAATAAAATATACCCAAACATTATTATTATTATTATAATAGTTATTTTTTTAAAATGTTTTTAGTATGTTTTAAATTCCCTAAAATTGCAGACGTTTAAAAAATAATTAGCCAAAATAATTATTTCATTAAAAGCTTACTGACAAATTTAATGATAAATGAAAAAAATATTAGCAGTGGTTACCTAGGTGTTTTATTTCAATTGAATTCGCTATTTTTCTAAGTTCCAGTACATCATCAATTCCTGCATACTTTGCCATTTGGGACTCATCAAGACCTCTATCATTAGGAACATTGAGTTTTATTTTACAGACATTGTAGATTGCTTTCAAAACCTAAAATTTGGTTTTATTAATACTTTTACACTTTATTTCATACGAAAAATGTACAATAACTGATCTGGCAAACAATAAAACTAATAGCTTCAGAATAACAGTGAAAACAAATTTTGAACACTTACATCTTCTTCACTTATTTTGATTGAAACCAATTCAGTTTTCAAAACCTAAAATTTGGTTTTATTAATACTTTTACACTTTATTTCATACGAAAAATGTACAATAACTGATCTGGCAAACAATAAAACTAATAGTTTCAGAATAACAGTGAAAACAAATTGTGAACACTTACATCTTCTTCACTTACTTTGATTGGATCCAATTCAGTTTTCAAAACCTAAAATTATGTTTTATTAATTGTTTTATATTTGATTTCTTACAAAAAATGTATCATGAAATTAAATTTTATATATACCAGGGAACAGTATTGAACGAACACTTATTAATAATAAATAGATAATAAAGATATCATTGAAAGTATTATTTAAATATTTTTATTAGATACGGAATACCGAAAACTTGTTTCGATCATTGTCAAGTCATGACAAAAAATCTATTGCAACTCCTAAAGCTTGAATAAAAAACAATCCAAAAGAAAAAATGGCTGTATTATAAATTATCAAGCAAACAAAAAAACTAATAGTTTTAGAATAACAGTGAAAACAGATGGGGACTTACATCACCTTCATCAGTATCGGTTGGAGCGGTTTTAGCAGATATCAAACAAGTTAGTAGCAAAATTGATATTTTGAAGTACATTATTGCTATTGACTATAAAGTATAAACTGATGCTTTACTGAGTGAGAAAACTAATAACCTCTGTTTGTAAAATATGTAGAATAACCGTACTTTGGGCATATATTATTTCCAATGCTAACCGAAATAGTTTATTGCTAACGAAATATTTTATGTGGTTCACATGTTTTTTAGAAACATGTTTTGTTATTATACAAATAACACGGTAGTCTTTTGCGTCATAATGGTAAATACGCGGCAAAAATGTGTTTTTTGGACACTATATCGTTTAATATAATACACTTGTGCAGTTTATACAGAGATTAAAAAATAAAACCTTATACATTATCCATTGGAAACCCAAACTTGGGCCTCTGCTAAAAAATATCTGTACACCTTTGAAAAAACCCGTCCTACTTGTAAAAATTGTTCCAGATACAAAAAACAAAAAATAATATTATTAATCAAACATTAACACCATTTGGCTAAAACTGTTTTGGTAGATATTTTTCTTATGAGTAGTTTAGGTAGTTAGGAAACGACGATAAATTGAGATCATTTTAAAGGCGTCTTGTAGCTTTGAAAACAAGAAATACTAAATAAAAGCGCTGTGTTAAATTTCAAGTAACATCTTGAAAATGAGAAAAATTGGCCGAGGTTTTGTTAGTTTAGATACGAATCATGTTTATATAAATCATTATAAAACTTCACTAGTATAATAAATCAAAACGTAGGTATGTTTGAGAGTTCATAATGATAAGTTAACCCTTTCAGTTAAATTCTTAGAGGTACACAAATTTCGAAATTTAACTTTTTTTAAAATAAATAACAACAATGTCCATAAAGTAAAAGCAAACAAATATTGTACAGCGAGGCATAAAATCACTTACAAATAAACGATTTGATGCCAATTTGTGGTTATTATTGTGCTGCTTCGGACTGTACTGGTGACCACTCCGTTTTCTGTGTGCCCCAGGCTTGTTGTATTTTTTTTTTTTTAATATAGTGACAAACCATACACCTTATGAATGCCTTATTAAATTCCGTTGAAATGACCGATGATTTTTAGTTACAATCGCTTGTACTCGATAAATATATATTATTCTATTACAATAAACCGTTGTTGTACCCTTAACATAATGTACCACCGTAACAGTCAACTACTGTTTTAAATTGTAAATAATTGAAATTATAAAAGTACAGTTTTTATACACTTTTCACAACAAACGTCAAGTAAGGTATCTGAATCCTCTATAGTACCATACAGTTACTGAATGCGTTATAATAAATATTTTTCTATTAAGGTTGGATCGAGCAGAAATCCAAGAATATTACACTTAAAAGGGTTAAAAAGCGAAAACATTGTGGTGATATATCTTAACGAGGCACTACATTGTTTCATATAGATAAATTGCATACTCTTAACCACGTTTTTTAATCAGAGCGAATGAAATCCACAAAAAAAAAATTGTGGTAAAAATAGAAAAGAGGCCTAGCAAGCTTTTGCAGAAAAGATAGATGGAAACTGTGAAAGATGTGTGAATTAGTAAACCACCTAAGAGGTCAAAAAAAATACTAGATTGCGGTAAACATGAAAGGTGAGACAAACTTTGCGTAGTTAATTAATCAATACTAGTAACACTCAATCTATGGATATAAGTTTAACCACATATCAATCGCTGCGTTTTCGGCTTGTGTTTTTTATGTATAATATATATATATATATATATATATATATATATATATATAAGAGCTGTAAGGAACGACACGCTTTTCGGATACCGATAATAATTCTGAAATTCTATTAATAATTCGATAAACGATAGAAGCTTAATGAAAAGTAAAATTGGATTTTCTAGTAGAGATTTCTTTGACTAACAGCTATTTGAAAAAAATGTCAATAGAATATGTCTAATAAGAAAATTGAGCAAATAAGACAATTCAATTATTTAGGTCATTCTCAAAAAAAAAAAAAAAACAATGAAGGTACTCTTTTAATATTTCAGTTGTATATTTATGAGTTATAATGGATTACAATTCGGTTCAGGGTTTAAATCGTAACAAACCGATAATATTTATGAAGTTTGCGGCTTATTGGATGGGAACTTTATATATTGAGGAAATCTTCTTCGAGATCAATACATAACTCCACAAATCTATATTGTCTAAAAAAAAGCAAAAAAAAAAAAGCAAAAAAAAAAAATTAAAATCTAATTTCAAATTTCAGTGTATAACTAATTTTTGAGAATAGCCATATTAACAAGTAAATAGTCGTCAATAATATTTAATTAGAAATAGACAAAATTATACAGTCAAAAATTAAATATAAAAGAGTGTTATTTAAACATTTCATTTCTTTTAGAATAAGTTATTTTAATAGGTTGCTTCATTCTTGTGCTAATTAGATGATTTTTTTTTTTACTTAAGTTTATATATTTTATTATATTAGCAATTTATACAACATATTTAACAAATTATGTTTACATAATATATTTATGTGTAAATGTAAGATATATTTATAGTTTAATTATTTGTTTGTAAAATTTGTTTGAAAGTCATTAACAATTAGGAATTCATTTCTTAAATAAGATAAAAAACAATTATTTTAACTTTGACGTTGAAGATTGATACCTAAAGTATACCTAAAATCAATTATTATTCATTAATTATCATTTTTTTTATTGTTTTAATTTTAAACTCTATATTAATACAGGTGTTTAAAAAATAATTAGCCGAAATTAATATTTCATTAAAAATTTACCATACTATTTTATATTAAATGATTAATGAAAAATATTTAATGGTTACCTAGGTTGTCTATTGCAATTGAATTTGCTATTTCTGTTAGTTCGGTTACTTTAAGTCCCGTACTGTGTGCCATTTGAGCCGCATTAAGACCTACTCCGGCAGGAACACCGTGATCAGTTTTCGCGATGGCGTAAGCCACTAGTAATACCTAAAAGTTGGTGTTACAAAACTTTTTAATTTATTTCATACCTAATGTTTGGAAAATGGAAGTGGAAAATGGGAATCAGGATTCCATAGGACCTAGTATCATGGAAGAAGAAATTGAGTTCTAACAAAAATAGTTCATAATAGTATAAAAAATAAAATACAGAAAAACTTACCAAAGAAGTAATTTGGGTTAAGGAGGAATAGAGGAACGAGGGAAGCAATCCTTTGTCTTAGACTTATAATAGAAACAATTTTCAGAATTAGTAAATCTATAGATACAGCCTATGTGGCCCTAGAAAAGGCTTTTCAGAATTTAACAAACAATCATTAATAATAAAACTAAATAGAAACAATTTTTTTATTACAGATTTACAGATATCATTACCTAATGAAGCAATCCTTTGTCTTAACCTTATAATAGAAACAATTTTCAGAATTAGTAAATCTATAGATACAGCCTATGTGGCCCTAGAAAAGGCTTTTCAGAATTTAACAAATAATCATTAATAATAAAACTAAATAGAAACAATTTTTTTATTACAGATTTACAGATATCATTACCTAATGATAGTGTTGTTAAAATATTTTTATTATGTAAGACCGATGCTAATAGTGTCAGAATAACTGTCAAAATACATTTTAAAAACTTACTTCAACATCATCTACTATAGGTATATTGGATATATCACCTTCAATCACTCCTTCGGGTGTCCTTATAATAAAATTGTTAATATTGGCAATCTCTTTTGCAAGCGATATAAACCTCTCCAAGTTTATATTGTCTGAAAACCGAAATAAAAATTCAGTGTACACTTAATTTTTTAGAATAACAACATCAAATAAACAGTCGTTAATACTTTTTTAAATATGTATTGCGCTAAGGTATACAAAATAACCCAAGTGTAAAAAATTCCCAAAACGTATTGTTTAAAACATCTAATTTTCTTTGGTATAAGTTATGTTGCTTCTTGCTTGCATTAACTAGATATTTTTCTTTTACTTAATTTTATAAATTTTATTACATTTAAATTTAAATATAGACTTATAAATGAGCCCTATTCAACAAAATCTAAATTCGTTCAGTTAATTATTATGAAATGTGTGTGTCACACACTAATATTGAACCACATTAAAATTATAAAAAAACTTACAATATAAAACATTATCTGATAGATTTATTAGGGACTTTATTGAATAGGGCCCCACGCTTTTCTTTTTGGGATAAAATTTAAGATGTTTAACATTATTTAAAATTGTAGTTAATTTTCGGTTGTTTTCAATGTAATTCATATTTTAAATAAAATGTGCTACAAATTGATTGGTAATTTTTTTCTTGTAGTAAAATTATTTTTTATTTTGTTTTTAAAAAAGGAATTTTGACAGATATAGATAAATGATTTCTACTTCTTGTTAAAATAGGTTGAGTTAAGAAAATTTCATTGACAATAAACAATTAATTTCTTAAAATATATAAAAAAAAATATTTTAACTTTGACGTTAAAAGTTGTTATTAAAATTAACAAAATATACCTAAAAAAAAAAACTATAAATTGAACTTTTATTTAAAAGTTTTAATATTAATTTTCCTAATATAACAGATGTCAATAAAATATCCAAAATTATTATTTTATTAAAAATCCTGCCTCAACAGCACTAAAATCAAAATGGATGCTCTCTTTATGGGTTCCCTTTATGATATAAGCAGGTCTAAGTCATAGCTTTGAAAAAACACTAAAACTTAATATTAAATGATAAATGAAAATTATTTTAGTAGTTACCTAAGTTTCTTATCCCAATTGAAGTCGCTATCTCTCTAAGTTCCGATACCTTTATTTCCATAAAATTTGCCATTTCGGTCTCGTTAAGATCTCTTTCAAAAGGAACTTGGCGATCCAGTCTACAGGCATAGTAGGCTGCTTTTAAAAGCTAAAAGTTTGTTTTTCTAATTATTTTTACATTTTATTTCATACAAAAATTTAACTTTGTACAGACTAGAGAACAATATAAAACTAACAATCATTAATCATAGAATAAAAAAAAACTCTTTTAATTATTACGGGTTTACAGATATCATTAAATAATGATATTTAGTATTAAAATATATTTTTTATGTATTATGAAAATCTTGTTTTGATCATTAATAATTATTAGTTATTACAAAAAACTGTATTGTTGTTCTTTGAGCTTAAATAAAACTATTTTTACAGGAAAAGATGACTATGTTATAAATTGTCTTGCGAACAAAAAGTCTAATAGTTTCCGAATAACAGTGAAAACAAATTATCAGACTTACTTTATTTACACGTTTTGCGGATAGAGTGGTTTCAGCAGATATTAAACAAGTTAGTAGCAAAATTGAGATTTTGAAGTACATAATTATTGCTATCGACTGTAAAGTATAAACTTGTGCTTGTGAGTGCTACTGAGTGACAAAACTAATAATTTCTGTTCGACTAATATCTAGAATAATCGATATTTGGGCATATATTATTTACAATGCTAACTGAAATAGTTTATTGCTAAGGAAATATTTTATCTGGTTCACAGGTTTTTTAGAAACATGTTTTGTTATTATACAAATAACATGGTAGTCTTTTGCGTCATAATGGTAAATACGAGGCAGAAAAATCACCAACTATGTGTTTTTTTGGACACTATAACGTTTATTATAATACACTTGTGCAGTTTATACAGAGATTAAAAAATAAAACCTTATACATTATTCATTGGAAACCCAAACTTGGGCCTCTGCTAAAAAATATCTGTACACCTTTGAAAAAACCCGTCCTACTTGTAAAAATTGTTCCAGATACAAAAAACAAAAAATAATATTATTATTCAAACATTAACACCATTTGGCTAAAACTGTCTTTGGATGATATTTTTCTTATAAGTAGTTTAGGTAGTTAAGAAACGACGATAAATTGAGCTCATTTAAAGAGCGTCTTATAGCTTTGAAAACAAGAAATATTAAAAAAAAAAGTGTCATGTTAAATCTAATGTAACTTCTTGAAATTTAAATTGAGAAAAAAGGCTGAGGTTTTGTTAGTTTGAATCATATAAAGTTAAGCATTGTTATGATACACTTTGATGTTAATCTGTGATTATTACTATGCTGATTTGGACTGTACTGGTTTGAACTTACTATACAAACGAAAATGTTGATACCTTCCGCAGCTGTCTACCTCTTTCTGTTCTGGTACAAGAAAATAGGGAAACTTACTTCTGGGATGACCCTTGTAGTAGGCAGTGAGAAACCATACACATTATGAATGTCTTATTAAGGGTATCTGAATCCTCTATTATACCCAATGGTTACTGAATGCGTTATAATGAATATTTTTCTATCAAGATTGGATCAAGCAGAAATCCAAGAATATTACACTCAACAGAGAAAAATGGAAGCGTTGTAGTGAGGTACCTTAACGATACATTCTTTCATGTAGCTAAATTGCCTACACTCGACCCCGTTTTACTAACCAGAGTTGGGGAAAATCCGGATTTTTAGGGTCGTAACAAGCCTTAGCATAAATAATCCAATTTCCAAAAATGATATCCAGATTTTGGTGGTACCTCTGTATTTGTCATAAGACGGGCTAAAATCTATGTTAATACAATTTTGTTATATTGTTATCATATAGGTAACCAGACAGTGGTTAAGTGTTAAATTTGTTTTATTTAATAATTTTATTATTATAAAATTTTAATATAATAGTTGTATTATACAAGTAAGGTTAAATAAAATGAAAAAGTAGAATAGAATAGAAAATTAGAAATATATTATACATTATATAGATGGTAAATTAAATTGAATAGGTATTTGTATAATAAAAAATATTAATTAAATTTTAATAAACAGTAAATACATAAATAGATTACAAAATTAAAAAAAAAAATCATTTAGGTTGCAACAAAACTAGAAAAAAATGTTTTTGCTGATTATAACTGATGTATTGTACTGAAGTAATAAAATTGTATGTGTATACTAAATGGTCAAACAATACTCATGACTGTCGTATATATATCACCAAATCAACATATACAATCAGTAAAAGACTTTCTCCACTTTGTACTTCTGCCATACACGGAAGAAGGATCAGGATATAATGAATAATAACTATTACATTCTACCCTGGTTAATCAGTGGAGATTTTAACGTCAATTTCAGTGCAGAAGGAGAGACTCTTATAATACATACTTTCACCTCCAGATAAACTAAGTTAGACAAATGAGTACTACACAATCAGGCACAGTCATAGATGCAGTATTCCATCGGAAATTAGACAACCTACAGTCTCATGTTTATGTATCTTATTTTAGTTATCATAAACCGGTAATATTAACTATATCAAAAATATTAATCGTTTCTCAATAAAGCTCTTTTTTTTTAAATTTTATTTTATGTAGAACCCGAAATAAGATGTTTACACATAACTATTGTAAGTACTTTCCACGGCTCAATCGGTTTTTTATTACAAATATTCTCAAGTACATAAAAGTATACTCGCAGATCGCTCTATATCTATCTATCATATAGTTTAGCCAAAGCCATTATAGATAAAAACAAGGAAAAAGTGGTGTGTTTGCGTAATGTTACGTTTGCCCCCCCCCCTCCTTTCCCATGAAAAATAAACCATAAAAATCCTGAAGTTTGGTAAATTGACCAAAAATATTGTTAAATTCAATTACTGTAAGAAAATGTATTTATAATTGTTGGGCAAACGATAGAACCACACAAAATAGAAGCTTAATGAAAAGAAAAATTATATTATATTATAGAGGTTTGCTTGAACATCAGCTATTTGAGAAATAATCATTGAGAAATATCTAATTTAAAAAAGTGGAAAGAATAAAACAATTCAATTTATAAGGTAATTTAAAAAAAAAATCCACTCAAGATACTCTTTTAATATTTCAGTTGTATTATTTATGAATTATATTTTAGTACAATGTGGTCCAGGTTTCAAATTGTAACAAAGCGGTAATATTTATTGAAGTTTCAGTTTACTGGATTAGTCAGGTTGTTCTCCAGGTGGCCTGTTGGATGGGCCAGCTTCTAGCTCTCTTTTGGCACCTATTGTGGAATTATTATATCTTCTGTAAATCTCTTTCATAAGCAATGTAAAATTTTCCCAATTTATATCGTCTGAAAAACAGCAAAAAATAGTAAAAAACATTTAAAAGTATTATTAAGTGATAAGTTAAAATTGTTTGGTGGTTACTCAAGTTTTCTATTAAAAGTGTATTCGCCATCTCTCTTAGTTCCGATACATTAACGATTTCCACATAACTCAGCATTTCGTACTCAGTAAGGCCTCTATCAAAAGCATCGAATCGTCTTTTGGCGGAACAGTATAATTTTAAATAAACCTGAAAGTTTGTTTTACTAATTTTTACATTTTATTTCATACAAAAAATGTCCCATACATTTAATTTTGTACACAATAGAGAACAATACAAAACGAACAATCATTAATAATAGGATTAAATAGAAACTATTTCATTTTCTACAGATTTACAAACATATATTTTTTAAAGACTTACAAGATCATCAAAAATAGGCCTATTGGATGAGCTAGCGTTTAGCTCGTTTTTGGGTTGCAATATGGAAAGACCTAGTCTTCTGGTTATCTCTTTCGAAAGCAATACAAACGTCTTCAAACTTATATTGTCTGAAAAGCAAGCAAATTCATATAATCTCAAATTTCTATGTAAATCTAATTTTTGAAAATAAAGACATCGAGACAAACAGTCGTCAATACATTTTAATTAGGGTATAGGATGAAATTATACAAATAAACCTAATTATTGTAAAAATACCTAAAAAAAAATGTGGTCTAAATATCTAATTTCCTTTAAAATCTTAAAGGAAACATCAATATAATCTTTCTTGTGCGACTTAGATAGTTTTTTTTTACATAATTTACTTTCCTGACTTGAGGCTCTGTATAATTGTATATTTTACATTTCGACTTACGGTGCTCGAAAAATATCTAGAATATTCGAAATATTGGGAAAATAATATTTTCAACGCTAATCATACAGCCTTAAGGGGATTGCATGCGGTTTTTAAGGAGTTTTGTATAGGCAATTTTCTTAGTGCGTTATGCTTACTCGATTGCAATTATTATTGCAGTAAGGTTGCTACTGGTATAATGTTTGGGTCATTAGTCATTGCTTGTTATATTTGATGACATAAATAATAAGGATTTTCTGGTATAATTATTGCTTATTATAATGCATAACTATATTATGCTGTATTATCATGATTCATGATAAATAAATAGGTCTATCTTTATTTCAATAATTATCCAAAAAAAAAAAAAATGTTATACCATATAATTTGAATTACTACTCTTAATGGACTACTAATCTCTATCAAATCTGGAACCAATTCATAGTCCATACCTACCCCTGAAATTTCAGGGTCAAATTTTAAATTTACAGTTTTATTATTTAAATTTATTCTAATTGACAGCTGTTTTTAGTATACGTTTTTACCTATAGTTTTAACAGTAACAACTGTACTCTTTTTCTGTAATGTGACTACATACCCAATTAACAACTAATTGGTTACTGGATATTTGGATTGTTTAAGGGGATTGGATGCGGTCGGTTTTTCCAGTCAAAACACATCATTTTTATTCCATTGCACAGACCGAAGCAGTGACCCGATAAGCAATCTAAAAACAGATTTGAATTCGCCACGAAATTTATTTATGATCGGTCAGGGTACTTTTTTCAATTTTTTTTTTAACCCTTTCCAAATTTAATTTAAAAATTTGACATTTTATATAATGTTCAAACGTGTTTTATACATAGTAGGAATAAGATATCAAAAAAGTACGTCGACCGATCTCAAGTAAACTTCATGGCGAATTCAAATCTATTTTCAGATTACTTATCGCATCACTGGTTCAGCTTGTGCGATGGACAAAAAATGTATGTTATATTGACTAAAATGGTTTTTACTCATAGACAAAATAATTTTAATTAAAAATACTACCATGAAGCTTATACAAATTAACCGGTAAATTAATTGACATGATCGAAATTTATTGAAACCACTTTTTTCTTAAATATTGCCTATACAAAACTCCTTAAAAACCAACCGCATGCAATACCCTTAAAGTTGTGCTATAAATAAAATATAAATATTATATTGATAATAAATAAAGACGTTAGTATTGCTGTCTTTCTAGTTAAATTTTCATAATAATAATAATAATTATAATATTGCCGTTTTATCAGGAACGCCAGACCTTATTGGTAAATGGTAAACCTTTTGGACAGCCATCATTTCTATGGTATATTAGTAGATTACAACGGTCTATTCATAATTAGAATATATCTAAACAATCCGATTTTATATATATATTAGATAAAAATATTATAGTTAATTTTCACAGCGGGTGCCTAATTTTTTCGTTTATCGTTATACCTGTTTGGGGATGGTGTGGCAAGAGGAAAAGGAAAGTGCTCGCACGCGCGTGCACATGTCGCCAAAGCGCTAGCGCGCGGAAAACAAATAAATGTGAACACAAAGTATACATTTTTTGTTCCATCGCACAGGCTGAACCAGTGATCCGATAAGTAATTCGAAAACAGATTTGAATTCGTCATTAAGTTTACTTATGATCGGTCAGAGTACCTTTTTGATATCTCATTCCTACTATGTATAAAACACGTTTAAACATTATATAAAATTTAAAAAATTTAAATCAAATTTGAAAGGGTTAAAATTAAAAATTGAAAAAAGTACCCTGACCGATCATAAATAAACTTCATGGCGAATTCAAATCTGTTTTTAGATTGATTATCGAATTACTGGGTTGGCCTGTACAATGGAATGAAAATGATGTGTTTTGCCTAAAAAAAATCGACCGCTTGCAATCCCCTTAACCGTACCGAAACAAAAAATAGAAGCTTCCGTTGAGTTCCCTTGTCAGTAAGAGAAGGACTAAGTCATAGCTTTGCAAAAAAAAAAACCTAAATAATATTATTAAACGACTAATGAAAAAATATTTAGTGGTTACCTAGGTTTTTTATTTTAATTGACTTCGCTATCTCTCTAAGTTCCATTACATCATCAAATCCTGTGTACATTGTCATTTCATACTCATTAAGACCTCTTTCGTTAGGAACATCGTATGCCTTTTTACAAACATAGTAGAGTGTTTCCAAAACCTAAAATTTTGTTTAACTATTAAAATAATTATATTACATATTATCAAAAACTCGTTTTTATAGTAAATAGTTATGACATAAAATTTGCATGTTAAGCTTAAATAAAAGTAATCGCACAAAAAAAAAACTGGGACTTACACCATCTTCGCCTGTATCAGTTGGAGCGGATTCGGCAAATATTAAACAAGTTAGTAGCAAAATTGAGAATTTGAAGTACATAATTATTGCTATCGACTGTAAAGTAAACTTATGCTTGTGAGTGCTACTTAACGACAGAACTAATAATTTCTGTTCGAAAAATATCTAGAATAATCGAAATTGGGCCATATATTATTTGCAATGCTAACCGATATAGTTTATTGCCAACGAAATATTTTATCTGGTTCACAGGTTTTTTAAAAATGTGTTTTGTTATTTTACAAATAACATAGTTATTTGCGTTCAAATGGTAAATAAGAGGCAAAAAAAAAAATCACCAACTATGTGTTGTTTGGACACTACATTAAACACTAGTGCATTTTATACAGCGAGTAAAAAATAAAACTTTATTCATTATCAATTTAAAACCCAAACTTTGGCCTCTTCTTAAAAAGTTTTGTACACGTTAGAAAAACCCGTCCTACTTGTTAAAATTGTTTCATATTCAAAAAATGATGATAATCAAATACTGACATCAAATGGTTAAAACTGTTTTGGGTGATATTTTTCTTATAAGTAGTTTAGGTAGTTAAGAAACGACGATAAATTGAGCTAATTTTAAAGAGCGTCTTAAAGCTTTGAAAACAAGAAAAATTAAAAAAAAAAAGTGCCATGTTAAATTTCAAGTAACATATTGAAATTGAGAAAAGTTGGCCGAGGTTTTGTTAGTTTAGATACGAATCATTTTTATAAAGTTAATCATTGTTTTTTAAAACTTCTAATGAAATCTCTTTTTTAAGATTAATAACCTCTGTTTGTAAAATATGTAGAATAACCGTACTTTGGGCATATATTATTTCCAATGCTAACCGAAATAGTTTATTGCTAACGAAATATTTTATCTGGTTCACATATTTTTTAGAAACATGTTTTGTTATTATACAAATAACACGGTAGTCTTTTGCGTCATAATGGTAAATACGAGGCAAAAATGTGTTTTTTGGACACTATATCGTTTAATATAATACACTTGTGCAGTTTATACAGAGATTAAAAAATAAAACCTTATACATTATCCATTGGAAACCCAAACTTGGGCCTCTGCTAAAAAATATCTGTACACCTTTGAAAAAACCCGTCCTACTAGTAAAAATTGTTCCAGATACAAAAAACAAAAAATAATATTATTAATCAAACATTAAGAGGACGCCACACACCCAATTTTTTAGCGCTAAAACCTGTCTACGCAGAATGGGTTTTACTCGGCCCATGATGGTTTTAGAGCAAAAACACCAAGTATAAAAAAGAAAGATAATGACATTTCTGAAAGAATAGCATATCCGTTTTTTAAAAAATGTCCAAACAAAAAAGTTATTAATGTTTTAAAAAAGTAAAATTTACACTTTTTTTAACATTAAATATTGATCTATGTACTAAGTATATCAAAAAAAGGATATGCTTATCCCTCTAAAATGTCATTATCTTTCGATTTTATACTTGGTGTTTTTGCTCTAAAACCATCGTAGACCGAGTAAAACCTGTTCTGCGTAGACAAGTTTTTACGCTAGATTTGTAAATTTGTACGTCGTCATGTGCTGCTTCTAACGGGGCGTTCAAGTATTATTTATAATGGACCGTGCGGAGTGCGGGGGTAACGGTCAGCCGCCGTCCATCCGTCGACCGACAGCCGAAAAACGGCAGGGTTGAGGGTTATCGGTAGCGGTGACACCGCAATTATTACCTGAAGAATAAACAGATAATCCATTTTTTAACAATTGATTTTCAATAACACGGACAAATAATAGTTGCTCAGCGATACCGTCATTTAATATTTGCTTTTTTGTGTTCATTATTTTTTAGAGAACTAACTGAATAACCAGGCTTTGCTTGTTTGAAAAAGGTAGAAAGTGTGTTAAATTATGATTTATAAGAATTGTGATTTAAAAAAATATTTGGGGTAAGGGAGGGGGAAGAGTTGATTGCACACTCTGTGAAAAAAAATTTTAAAAATGCTCAAATGCCTCGCCGAAAAAACGAAACATTGTAATACAATGTGCGCCCTCCTCCCCACCCCAGACCAAAGGGTGACACTGTGACTCTAGGGGGAGAGGGAGTATTAGGATACTGTGTGAAAAATAAATAATAACTAAAATAAAAACAATAAAATTATTTAAATGCATCGCCAAAAAACCGGGACATTGAAATACGTGTGTGCCCTCCCCTCTCCTGGTCAAAAATGAGAAAAATTACGGCACACCACAACTTTTTTAAAAATATTCTATTAAGTTCCAAATGTGTATGGAATATTCTTTAGATATAGTACTACCGCTAAACGTTGACAAATAAAAAAATAATATAAATCCTTTCTCCTATGTGTGAGTTAATCACCAGTCAACGGGTATTTAAAAATATTTTCATTCTATTGCCAACTCCGATATACGGGTAACTATGTCATTCAATTGTTATAGACACACGATAAACCCTATTCGTATTAACCCTAACAACAAAACTACTTTTTTAAGCAAGTTAATGCCAATAGGGTACAATGCTTTTTTAAATATTTGTATTTCTACCACTATAGATCAAAACGTTAATTAAAAAATAATTTTATCAATTTCAGTTGTAATGAGTCATATAGACCTGTGACCTCTCCGCCGCAATATGATCCATCCCCACTATGCCCCTACCCCACTGTATTGGCTTTTTAAAATTATTTATACATATCATAATATATTCGTATAATAGTGCATAATTTTGGAAATTATCACATGTCGTTCTTATGCTTTAAAAGTCTTATGCCAAGTGCCGACGGCAGCTAATTACCACCGTAATTCGTGGGATAACAATAGAACTGAATACTGATAATCTAATTTTAACTGAACGTATTATTTTGTAAATATTGAAGAATTAAGAAATATGCCTATACTAATGAAATACTATATTTTTGTTGCACATAAAAGCCGCTATTCTATTTGTCCTATTGTGTTCTGTGTTTTATAGTGAATTTTTTAACAATTTATTATTTTATTCTTACTTGTAATACAATTACAAAACTTTTAATTATAATTCTACAATAATTTTTATAATTGTAAATTTTATAATAATTACCAATATAATTTAATAATAATTGAAATATTAAAAATATCATATTACTTTTCTTGTGTAAATATATGTAATTGGGTTTTAGTTCATGATTTTGTCGGTATTAAAAATATCAGTAACAAAATTATTTGAATTGTTTTATTTATAGTTTGTAAAGTAAAAATGATAAAAACATAATTCAAGCTATGATAGACCATAGAGTTTATATTTTATAAATATATCTATATAATTAGGCAAACAGTAGTTTTTAATCAATAACTAATTCGTGGGTGCGCGCAGATACTATAAATATGTCGGCTGTATACAGCGTATTTAATTTCAAAGTATACGAATCGTCTACCAACGACGTTCATTCATTAATAAAACACGGTCCCGTACGAGAAATTGTCAGACCGGTTACGTCAACAGTAACGTGGTAGGCGGGGCTAAAAACGCGTGCCTGCGCCTCGCTAAAACACCTAACAGCGCGTTCTATCGGTCGTTGCACGCGTTCCACTTTTGGTGTGGCGTCCTCTTAACACCATTTGGCTAAAACTGTTTTGGTAGATATTTTTCTTATGAGTAGTTTAGGTAGTTAGGAAACGACGATAAATTGAGATCATTTTAAAGGCGTCTTATAGCTTTGAAAACAAGAAATACTAAATAAAAGTGCTATGTTAAATTTCAAGTAACATCTTGAAAATGAGAAAAATTGGCCGAGGTTTTGTTAGTTTAGATACGAATCATGTTTATATAAATCATTATAAAACTTCACTATTATAATAAATCAAAACGTAGGTATGTTTGAGAGTTCATAATGATAACTTAACCCTTTCAGTTAAATTCTTAGAGGTACACAAATTTCGAAATTTAACTTTTTTTAAAATAAATAACAACAATGTCCATAAAGTAAAAGCAATCAAATATTGTACAGCAGGGTACAAAATCACTTACAAATAAACGATTTGATGCTAATTCGTAAATACAGCACCTCAACTTAATACTTTCTAACTTTGCTGGTTTATACTGTGCTTGGTTTGGACTTTATTTTGTTTTGACCTCTATTATACTTCTATTTTACTAGATTGACAATTTACAAAACAAAATGCAACTAAAAATACCTTTTCATGGATCCTTAAATTGTAAAAGGGGCAGTGAACGGGCGATTTTCCATTTAAATAAATTGGAAAATTAAAATGAGCACGAAGCAGATTATCTAATATTAAAAAATTTAAACAATCAATCGTGAATCTCTTTAAATGAATAACAGTATAACTATATGCAAAACATAAGTGTTCCTTTAAAAAAATTTTGTAATACGAAATACATTCTGGGGCGGTAGACTGCATAAAAACCAAATAGCAACAGTCCTCTTCATAATTTGCAGGTAGTTTGACCTTATATACTCATAGTTGACTTTCGGTACGGTAATATAACGCGGGACATAAAATAACCAAATAACGACAGTTGTCAGAACGATTAAGTGTCTTAATAAGTACACTGATCGGTTTTTTCCCCAATAAATCATGTATCTACTGTAACCAGTAACACGATTTAGTCGCATGTGATATCATGTAATAAACACAAGATTATGATACCGACCGTTGGGTTCTAACCTAACCTAACCAACTTTTATCCTCCCAAAGTAGAGAGTTGCTACTCGAAGGAATTGGTTCAGTATTATAAAGTTACAGTGTATACAGATAAAAAAAACACACATCAGAGTAAAACCAATTCCTTCGCCGCTCTGCATCGAAGATAAAATGTCATTGGAATATGTCTAATAAGAAAATTGAAAAAATTAAACAATTCAATTAATCAGGTCATTCTCAAAAAAAAAAAAAAAACAATGAAGGTACACTTTTCATATTTTAGTTGTATACTTATGAGTTATAATGGATTACAATTCGGTTCAGGGTTTAAATCGTAACAAACCGATAATATTTATGAGGTTTGCGGCTTATTGGACAGGAACGCCATGAATAAAGGAAATCGCCATCGCGATCAATACATATCTCAACATATCTATATTGTCTAAAAAAAAGCA